AGTAATCTGATGCTTACCACTGCAGAAGAGACAAAGGTTGTTCTTCATCCTTCTTTCTTTCTCAGAGGGAAGGACTTTCCCATCTGCACCAAGATGGTTGAACGCGGGGCGCTGACCACCGGATTGGCCGGAATTCGAAGAGTCCTGGGGCTTACCATTGTTGTTAGGCTTACCACCAGAGAAGGGTTTAGGCTTTGGTGTGAATGGTGCCGAAGAGCCAGATGGCTGAGAGTTGTTTTGCTGGTTAGTAGAACCAGTCTTAAAGTCCGAGGAACCCTTCTTCGGGTTCCGAGCAATAAAAGGCTTACTAGCCTCACGCTTCTTGGTTTCTTCGCGCTTCCAATAACGGTTGTCAATATGAAGAACCTCTTGACGGTAATCAGCGAGTGTCGCCGGATCGGGCAAACACGCCATTTCATCCTTGATGTGTTCAGCTAGGCCTCGTCCATAAGCCCATTTCAGGGCAGCAGAATCCCAGTTGGTACTAGCAGCCAGGGTGTTGAACCGGATGTTGTATTTCCAGATGTTCTTGGTTTCCTTCATCTTCAGATTACCGAGAGAATCTTCGGCCTCGCCTTGGGCGTCGTAAATGCTGAAATTGTCCTGGAGCTCCTTGACCAGAGCTTTGAAGGAGGACGTCCACGCCGGCGGCGAGTTGAGATCCGGGTCGGGGATATTCACCTTCCGTTGGTCGGTGAAATACTTGGGATGGTCATTGAAGACCAGGGCGAGATTGACAAAGAACGTCTTGAGTTTTTGGGGGTCTGAACCGTCGAATACTTCTGGCTCCTTGACCTTGCTCTTAGATTCAGAGCTGTCAGAGGGATGGCTGAGAGCGGCAAGAATGGTACCAAGGGTCTCAATGGAGCCCTTGAATCCCGAGAGGAGTTCCAACATAGCACGTTGCTCGTTGGGGATGTCAGGAGAAATTCGGGAACGGGGTCCACCAGGTCCACCGGGACCGCTGGGACCGCCAGGACCACCAGGCTCACCACGCGGTAAACCGCCGGAGTTGTCATCCAGATTGTCGTTGTCGTTGTCAGCACCCAGATTGTTGGGGTCAACAGGAGGGTCTTGATCATCGTGATCACCAGCGTCCAGATCGAAGTGAGGAGGCGGGTCACAAGGAGATTCTGAAGCAGCACGACGTTGAGGTTGTTTCCCAGTACAACGAGCTATGGCTTGGAGGATGGGAGAATCAATTCGAGTAGTAGACTGGCCCTGAGCCGGAGCGACCACGGGGGGTTGTCCGTCACTGGTATACAGAGTACTGTATTCAAATTGTTGTTCTTCTTCCATGGCCTCAGGAAGAGTCGATGTAGTAGGCACAGTGGCTGGACCGAAACCGCGATTACGGCAACGTGGTTGACCAATGGCAGAAATAGAGTCGGAGAAAGGGGCAAATGATTGGGCTGTGGTGAAGAAAGTATTTTCTTGGGAGTTAGCTCTAGATTGAGCTCGGGTTTTCGGAGGCATAAAAAATGATATGTCAGTACGACGTTAACGGATTGAGTTTAATTATACTGTTAAGATCATGTACACCGTGTAACCGTGCCAGGGCCACAAGGTGTCTAAGGGCGGAGGTCGAATGGGACAGTAGTGAAGTTATTAACAACACCGCTGTTACACCATTAGTCCCCGGAGATCGAGAGTATAGAAGAGAGGAGCTAAGTAGCAGCCAAGTCAGAGCGGCGGTATCGCCGACGACGAGAAGCGAACCAAAGAACGTTTAAGTCCTAAGGTCGAGTAGAACGTACTTCAAGGCATTGAGCCTGCAGACTTAAGAACAATAAGAGTAAGATTACAATAAACAGTGGATCTTCGGAATACCAAGCAGCGGTATGGAGGCCCGAGGCATGGACTTGACACATCCTTGATGCCGAGACTACTGCCATGGCCTTGTCTGTCAGTGTTCGTATGTACTGTATGAATGTCAGTTCTCGGTCAAGGTATACTCCCAGTATGCGGATCGCATCTTGAGCAGATATTTTAGTTACCATGCCATCAACATCTACCACAAATACTGGTGGCAAGTATCCTCCGTCGTGTCTCCATGAGTGGTGTGAAAGCTCAAGTTTGTCTGGTGCAATGGGCAGTCCAATTTCATAAAGCCATCCAATAATGAGTCATATGAGTAGTGCGATTATAGTGGTATTGTTGTCAAGTGAGGTTGAGGAGACTTGTGTGTTCCTATCATCCATATAGACACTGAGAGTCAGTTTGGTAGTTCTGTGGGTGTCGTTTTGAAGTAGAACTTCACTCTGTTCTTCTGAATAGGTGATGCATAGATGATCAATAGGATAGGTGAGACATTCAAGCCCTGTGGGATTCTGTTGTTTGGTTTCATGCCTCATATACCATCTAGGCAGATTGCTGCCTGCCTTTCTGATAGAAATGTGGCTGTCCATTTAACTACTGGCAGTGGGAGGCCTAGTTCTCTCATTGTCTTCAGTAGGATACTATGATTTACGTTGTCAAAAAAACCTGAAATATCAAATGTCAGCATGCTAGTAACAAGACCGTGATTATGAGCAGCTTGAACGTCTTCAACATATTCAAGTATTGGATCTACAGATGAGCTCCCTTCTTGACCTCCAAACTGAGTTTTGGGAACCAGACCAAGTTTTCCAACCATGTATCCCAGCTGTCTTGCAATGATCTTTTCTAGTACTTTACCCATACACTCTAGCAGTTGAATGAGCTAATATGCTCTAGGCTTGCTGTAGTCTGGTTTTTTGAGCTTTTGTAGGGCAACTGCTATAGCTTGGTGCCATAATCGTAGGTGGTAGCCTGTTTTGATGCAGTAGTGCATGATTGAAAATATCAGGTCAGCTTCTACTTCCCAAGCCTAGCAAATTGCTCTGAAAGTGATCTAGCTGTCCCCTAGAGCTTTAGATGGGCTCTGGTCTTCTTTTACTTCTGTTTGTGTTAGTCGTTCATGTGGGATGTCACCTGAGAGGTTCTCTGTGAAGTTTGGTGGGTCTTGTGTGGGTACTGTGAAACCTGGCTGAAATAGGACGTTCCATAGGGCATCCTGTTTTTCTTCCATTTTGACAGCTGGCTCTTGTCCAGATTGCTTGATAGCTGGTGATGGATATGTCCTTGAGCCCTGTGTCCATTTCTGAATGTCAAATATTTCATCTGGTGATTTCCTACAGGGTCTTGTTGATCCACCCATGTTTGTGATGACAAAGGAGTTTCTGAAAGTAGTTGCTGGCAGTCAGGATCTGGGATTGTAGGGCCAGATTGTTGTAGCCCCATTGTCTTTGGTAATCCAGCTGGTGTCTACAGAGGTTGGCTCTTGCTGCATTTGCTTTGTCAAGTTTTTTGGATCAATATGGGACTGCGCATGCATTTGATTGCCATTGCAGTTTTGAGTGTGTCAGTTATGAGCTTGACATCTTTGTTGTGTAGCTGATCTCGGTTGGTTGAGTTTTTCACATTGGTCCATTGTTCTTTGTGAGCCTGTATCTCGTTAGAGAATGCCATCTTCCATTCTGTTCAGTCAGTTTTCTCAAAGTTGTATTTTAACCCAAGGACATTCTCAACTTCCACCTCCAAAGTCTATAACCCATCACAGGGCATGGTGGTCGGAACCACAGCTGCTCTTGGCATCTACTGTCCACTCTTGAGCTGCATCAAGTGCATGCACTACTGGGTTTACAAAAGTGAGATTGATTGTAGATGATGCACCTTGTGAGTTGTGTTCAAAGTATGTGGGTACACCTTTCTCATACATCAGCATGAATCCTCCATCCATAAGCCAGTTGATGAATTGTTGAGTTTTGAGAGTTGGAGTGACTCGGATCAGACTCCAGTCATTGTGGTGTTGGTTGGTGTCACCTGAGATGATGACAGGTGTAGTCACTGGGAGTTATATCTTTTGTAGTTGCTCCGAGGCATCTGGTCTCTGTCACCCATGGCTGGATTTTGCTCATGGTTGTGAGTAGAGGTTAATAATGGTGGTGACTGGGTGGGTCCCTTGTGAAATGTCAATGATTTGGATGTCAAGGTCATGTGCAAGGTCTAATCTGAGGGTTATCTTGTAGTCAGGGTGTCATTTAGTGTATGCCATTACCTGTGGTCAAGTTCCCGCTTGTACCATTCCTACTGGTAAGATTGGTGTCCAAGCACAGTGTCATGCCCTGTCAGTAGAGCTCCCTTTCCTACACTACAGAACTACCCAGATCAGCCCATCCAATTGTCTTAACAAACCTCCCATCCTCCCACGGACCTCCCATAACTCTTCCTCCCACTCCCATGGACCTCCCACAACTCTTAACGAACCTCCCATAGACCTCTCATAACCGGGATGGCCCCCCATATACACTGTCAACAATTTATCAACCCAGCCTCATGAATTCCATGCTGCACACCATCCCCTTTGGATGCTTGCTTCCTATAATGTCTCCTTGCTCATTCCTCTTGCATATATAAGTACCCTCGTAGCATAAATGTCCCTAGCTTGGTATATTTTGAACACACACCCTTTTGCATAGGTCCAGTCCCTGTCCCTTTGTACCTGCTAACTATAAGGATTTCTTTTACCTCACGCCTAAGCAGTCCGAGTGAGTCTTCAAGCTCCCTCAAGCAATACTAAAGCTCCCCAAACATCTATTGTTTTGGTGAGCCAACCTCCCTCAAACCTCCTCAAGCTCCCCAAGTGCTCCACAAGCTCAGGAACCTTGATCTAGCTAACATTGAAGCTATCCCCTATGTCGAACTACGTATCACTTCTCTGTTACTGCCTCCAATGCTTGAGGATGTCCGCCTCTACCTCCACTTTTCGAGATTCCATTCCATCGGGAGCTCTTACGTCCGGAACTCCCTACCTCTACAATCTATCATGATCCTGTACTGTCAATCCTATTTACTACAACTGGAACTACGTAGCCGTCCGACGTTCCCTAGCTCCTAGTAACCTCTAGCCCCGTTGATGTCCTAGGGACCTCCCAGGACCTCCTAGAAACCTCTTCAAAGGTCAATCCTTTCAATCTGAACTACTTGTAGGTCATTCCCAGTCCTTGGTTGCGGTTACTGTAGCTCCCTTCAAGCTCCAGCTTGCTCCTAGCATGCTACAACATAAATCCCTTATACTAAAACCTACCCTAAGACCTATTCTGACCCAGGTCTTACATACTGTTGTTCCCAATTGAGCCCAACCATGGTTCAGTGATTAAAACAATATTGTATCTGTCAATAAAAGTGTTGAGTGCTGTGTGACAAACCTGGTTACTTCAGTTAGTGTTTAAGTGGAAGATTCTGATAGGTTGGGAATTTCATTGAGATGAGCACATACTAGTGTCTTTCATAGTCAGATCTGGTTGAGTATCCATCTGCGACCCATCTGGTAATCTATATCGTCCTTCATTTGGACGTGGATGTGTTGGTGGGATGACAATGGTACCATGTCCCCTGGCATACTGTACTCCACCCATCTGGTGCCGGTGCTGTGGTCTTCTTGCTGCCACCAGCAGTGTTCTTCGTCTTCGCTGCTCCCTTTCCATTGTTGTCCTGAGCAACTTTCAAGAAGTGGGCTTGTTGAGGACACAGCCTTACATTGGCTGCATGTTCTCCTTCACAGTTTGCACATTCAAGTGCTTCAGAATTGTTGGTGTGGGATGTCTTGGGGTGGGGGCCGCTGCATTTGCAGCATCGGATATTCTCTTTGCAGATTGAGATATGATGCCCAAATTTCCAGCAACATGTACATTGCAGTGTTGGCAGTAGTGGGGCGTGAGGTTTCAGTGTGCAGCCCCGTCCTGCAATAATCAGTTTTCCCTTTGCATATACCTTTTTGGCATCCTCTTGGTTGTGGAAGGAGAGAACAAATGACAAGTAATCAATTTCCTTAAAGTTCTCTGAAGCTCTCATCCAGTAAGGTGGGTCTGCCAGTTGGACTGTTTTGAACACCGGGTTGTCCGCTAGTAGAAACACTTGCAGATCTGCTGGGGTGAATGTCTCTCCTTTGTCTCAGCCAGTAGGCACTCCATTAACTTGGGTTTTCATGCAAGGTTCATCAGTTTGGATTTTTATTTCTGAGAGTGGTTCGTTGGTTAGGATGTCTAGGAAGAGGTGTACCAGTGGCTCAAGCTGGTTTCCTCATTGGTGTTTGAGCGTGGTGAGGACAATGCTGCCTTTATAGTTATTTGTAGCTGACGTTACCTGGATTTTCTCTTTTTCTGATTGAGAACCAACAGCATTGCTCAAGCGCTTGTTGATCTTGGCTACCGCTGCTCGAGTAATGAAATTCTTTCGAGGTGTGTCACATCTTAGGGAGATTACAAGTCAGGCTAGGTGGTTGCAGTCAAGAGGTGATTCGGGCTCACAGGCATGGCTCTGGGATAATGTAGGCAAGGATTTCCTAAGTTTGGGGGCATAAACTGGGCCGGAGGCTTGGACAGACACTATCCCTGGTGAATCTTTTGGTGTTCTTGTACTAGCGAGTCCCGGGATTGGATTGGTTGAGTTGGTTTGCTACCTTTCCATGGAATCAAGTCACTTAGATGGTTGTCAGAGCTCCTGAATTATTGTTGTGCTATTGTCCTGGTATATAACTGTAGAGTGGTCCTTCCGGGCATATTGCTGGTGTGCATGACAGGAGTATTTCAGTCATCCATATAGCTTTATGGCTTAGTCTGTCTGACCATTCTATTAAGTGTTCTGCTCCCATGATGAAATTAATGAGGTTGAGGGCGTATTCGAAGGTATCTGTGTGAGATGCTGATTTGGAGAGGGGTAAAGGTTTGGATTCAATGTTTGTGGTGGTACGTCTTCTATTGCTCCTTCCTCCGCATCTGTGAAGTCTTCACCTGTGCCGCTTTAGTGGGGATTTTGGTTGGCATATTTCATTTCTGTCTTTTTTTTGGCATGTTTGATGGCTCCATTCTTTTCCCCAGCAGCGAGGAAGGCCTTTCTGGGGTCTTAGGGCATCCATTCATGTGATGTATATTTGGTTCATGAAGAGAAGGTGGTTCCCCACCTCCAATAGTATTTTTAGTACTCATATTCTACGTGAATTCCGCTTTTCTATTGTGAGAAAATTCGAGGATGATGATGGATTTGAACAAAGAGAGTTTTGTCAACACTTTGAGGCCCCCGGAAGCTCCACCAGAACCCTGTCCGGGCAAATGCTGTAATCTACACAATGTTTTGGGCCTAAAATACGCTATTACGGACAAGGCTAATCACATGAAAGTCAAAAAATTGCAATTTTTTCTCCAATGAGCTCCTACAAGTTCTTACACCTTCCTACACCCTGATACGGTCATACGAGGCTTTAAATAGTGGTTCCCAACTTATTCCTAGCAGGTATTCTAATTTTGAGAGGCGGAAGAGTCTTGAGTGTCTCCCTAGCCTCACAATTCTGAAATGCACTCCATTTTTGCCCTGCCCACTTGTTCAACTTCATGGCAGCGGAAGGACCAGACAGTGTATTTGTGCCTAAATGATAGAGGACATTGGCAGCCGATGCATGCGTATGTAGATGATACTTGTGACCAGAAACTGAGCATGAAAATCGTTGCTCCGACAGTCCTGATTCACTGTTACTCTCTGATTCGGAATCAGATTCATTTTTGTGCTTCTTGAATTGTCAGCAATAGCAAGACTAAGTAAACAGTCAAGAAAAACTGACCACTGGTACTCCTAAAGGAAGGTACACCTGAAGCAAAAGATAGGACAAACCCAAGAGGTCAGTTGCCTTTGGGAGTGAACCGTAGCGAGAGCTTTGAGCTTTTTGTAGATGTCCAAAACTTGCCCAATGTACATCCGTTTCGTCGTTCATATGATAACAAAATTGTTTGGCATGAGTGGACACAGACTGGTGACATTTTTTGACCCAATATTTCGTAATACTTAATGATAAGAATTTAATCAGAACAAAACAATGAATTATGAATGGCACCCTCTTACCTTCAGAAGAGGCAAATACTTTCTCGATATTCTTTGCAACATCTAACCATCGCTTTTGTCACCGAGTCTTCTTCTGTTGACTTTGCAAATCTGCATTCAAGTCTTGAGCAATGCGTAATCTATGGGAGGCCTCCTTTGGTGAGATCTGTTTGATTTGTTCATGTGTCAAAGCCAAGACTTTCCCTAGAGCATACTTGTTACTTAGTTTGACTGTATGCTCAGACTTAGCGGCTGTTGCAGACTGCCACAACTGACGCTCCTTCACACAGGCAGCAATGGAGATTTTTGATGTGTTGCGGTCTAAGAGTTTGCTGAATTCAATCACAGGTAAGGAAACCAGCTGCGAGAGAACCAAGTCTGACTGAATAGGAATAAGTGAGGCAGCACATGGTAACAGGATACCAATATCAGTGTTATGAAACTCATTTTCGGAAATAATGTCTTGAAGATCAGTACACAGTGCGGAATATTTTGCAGTGTCTTTGGCAGTGATCCCAGCAATACAGTTGAATCTCTCGTGCGTATCAGCAGCATCTTCATCGTCATCAATTGCAAGCAACTCATTGGCTTCATCATCTGAGTCAATATTATGACCACCACCCTCATCCTTGTCTTCGACAACTTCATTGTCCAACTCAAAGTCGGAAGACTCATCTTCGTCCAGTGAGCTATCCAAGACTCCGGGTATTACTTCTGATGCAATGTGCAACAAAGGTTGCTTAGCGAAAGAGGGTTTTCGGTGTGCGGGATTCATAAGAATATCACGGCACAGATGGACAGCCTTGTTATAAGCCATGCTGACAAGGATATTCAGGCACGAGCAAGAGAAATATGCAAGTGTGACCAGCACTAGAGTGTTGCAGAGGCGATTGAATATACGCAAGCTAGGGGGAGAGATGAATGATCGTTTTATTGAATATAAATCCGGAAATTTCTTTGAAAGGTCCAAGATATGATGGTTTACAAGGTTCAACCAGAATCGCGCACGAAGAGCTGCCAGAACACGGTCTTTGGTAGACATTGTTGGATTCATCCATGCCTCGAAAAGGGTGCCTAAACAGCTGAGTTGAGATAAATACATATACAAAGAAATGAAGTATCTTGCCTAGGACAAATATATAAACAAATGGACCCTCAAATCCTGCCTTGATTTTTGTTTGAACATCTTCAGTCTCCGTCATCAATTGAAGAACATTGAAATGAAAAACCCGGCGGGCAGCACCATCATCTTGCTTGTCCACATTGTCGACATCTCGAAGCTGAAGACCGGCTCCGTTGAGTGAGTAAATATCAATGAGCGACTGATTGACAAGATAACCAGTTCCCAGACTTGTGGTATGTGTACCATGCTGAGGTTGGTAATGAGCAGTCTTTTGTGCATGAGGTGCGTCAGTCACAGAAATGAGAGGACCAGATTTAAAGACAGGCACAGACAGTCAGATGCCATATGGCAGGTTCTCGTAGACCAATGGGGGCAGTTCTGTTTGTTCTTGGTCCATGAGACTTTGCACGGTAAGCTCGGTAGCAGCACCATCTGCAGCCATTGCAAGAATAAGCAGGTTGAGCTGACCAGCCATTGTGATGAGACATATATGTAGGGTATGAATATCACTGGCATCCTCTTTACCTGCAGTAGGTAATAGGGCGACTACGATTGGAGGACTTTGAGGGATTGGCACCTGTGATAGGGCTTGTAAAATTGATGCATGCATAAACCAGTATGATGACTGACCTTGATTATCACAGCGCGAACCTGAGTGAATCAACCTCAACTTCCTGAAGAGACATTGTTGTAAACATACAGTTTACTACGGAGACGCATATAGTCACAAACGTGACACATCACAGTATATATACAGCACTAGCCTCTTAGACGTATCTCATCCGCTTACCTCCATCTATTTCACATAGAGTACCCACTTGTATCCCATATCTCTCTCGACTTTCCCTTGCTCTTCTCAATCATAGCCGATTCCTAGTATCTGGTCCTCTTGTGAGTCCCGATTAGTGTTACCTGCGAGCATCGCAGGTTTCCACTTTTTTTTTACTATGTTTCAAGCTTGATTGTAGGGTTGGGAGGTTCAAAAGACCACCACGCCCAAAAACATAACCTCCATTAATACCTCATTAACAAACACAATTGTGATTTTTCATATAAGGAGTAATCCTTCGGAAACGTAACGCTTCATTCGTCTTTGTCTTGTATTTTGTCTATTGTATCTCGCCCATTGTTCTCACCCACCATTCTTGTCTGGCTCTTGCCTATCGTTCTCATCTGGCTCTTGCCTGATCATCGCCTATTGTCTTTCGTCTTTCGTCAATCGTATTTCGCCCTCTACGTATCATTCATAAGAACATCTGGACTAACTCGTTGTCTGACAGTTTTGTTACACTGGCTGAATTACAACCCCGTCATGAAGGTTTACGTAGCGCTGTCAGAACCTCGAGTCCCGACACAAACACATTGCCAAATCCTTGTCCGACCTCGGAAGAATCTCTGTCTTCATCTTTTCCAACGCTTAATCCTCCCGTACCTACTACATGTGCTGTATCGCCAACTTCACCAGAGGAAGACAATATGACCTCTCGTGTGAACGAATCCGGAAATATCGAATTATGCAATGGCAAATACGGGCCTTGTGTGAAGCCAGAATATGGCAAACAAACTGAACTGAGAAATTCAATCGCTTCTTGACCTTTGTACAGTCTGAGGCTGCTATGACTGGCCCCGAGTACTTAAGGGAGTCATAGTATCATTTTACGCGAGCCATGTTTTCGAAGACTAAATAAGGATTTTGTAGGAACATCTACTGATCTTGACCATAGTGTTCTACCAGTAATCAACCAGTCACTTCGAAATAATTGAAATACAAAAGGTGCACTCACTGAAGCTGGCAAGAGCTTGGACCCCCAAATGTTGATGTGAAGATAGTGTATTGCTGATGAGAGTTGTGACCATACCCCCGCATCAGCATCATGTAGTTGATCACATTTTGCACATATTGAATTCCATATTTTAATTTCGGATTATCTGAAGACTCTCGCCTCACTCTGTCCTCCAAAGAGGCACAAATCTCAACAACATGTTCGTGTTTGCCAAGATTCCCTTCTTTCGCATGAGACCAGAGGCGCAAAAAACAGTCGTGAGGATCATCTGTTTTGAGCGAGTCATTGATATCAAAAAGAATCTTGTCATCAAGAAGATCTTTCATATGGTGTTGCTCAATTTTCTGGAGGCAATCAGTAGTAAGACTAGAGTGTATTTCACGGAGCCGGGATTTTTTGAGTCGTTCTTCCAGTGATAAGCCTGCTTCATGGTTTTTCTATGAATTCGAAATGACATAAGTATCACAATCAATCAAGGCTTGAATCCACATACCCTCTGTACTGAACGCTTGAATGATTCGTCCTTGCTGATAGCCCTACACAAATTGCAGACAGCATCACTGTTGTGTGTCTGAAGCTCGCAAACTGTTGACTCGATAAAACCTCCTGAAATATCAACCTCCCATCGAGCGAATGCAGATATGGTGAGTACTGCCTTTTTCCATTCCGTCTCTGTCCATTTATTGACATCGCTATCTAGACATTTGTCAATAGGGACCGGGATCACCTCATCATCGGGGTTCATGATGCTGACTTTAGTTTGAGGGAAAACTTTATAGGGAAATAGACGGCCAGCCATCTTACATAGCGAAAGCTTGAGAGGATATACCTCCGAACGTTTGAGTCCTTGTCAGCTCGAGATAGGCAGTATACTGAGGACTTCTGAGATGTACACAGACTTTTTTCTTTATAGGACTTGATGTTACATTTTCAGCTGGGTTCAATGGAGAAAGCATAGACCGAATCGATGGCTCCTGTATGATGATAAGCAACAAACTCAATGAGAGTTCACTGAATAACTACTGAATACTCACAGCTTTGACAGTCTTCATCGTGAACTTCTTTGCTGAGATGGTAGGTCCTTCCAATTTCCCTGACAATTCTTGAGAAACAGAAGCGTGAGTGGGTTTGCGCGCAATCTTGAAGAATGAAGTAATAGTGTCACTGTTATTGAGCTTCACAAAGCATTTCAATTCATTGTAGGGGCGTAGGTATGCTTGACCTTATGTAAAGGGGCAGAGGTTCTGACTATACTTCAGACCCGTTTCTGTTGAGTGATGCGAGGGTACAATTCACGATGAGCGGTCCAATTCTTGAGCTCATATGACCTTCCGAGCTTAATTGGTTTGAGACATCCACCACATTTAACCTCACGGTCATTCACAACTTTCGAGACCCATTGATCATCCTCCAGAATCGATTTGCGTTCCTCGACTGACTTTTTCTTCGCACGAGCTCTCTTGGCGGGGGGCTTTTCTTGATCAGTCTCATCATCGGAATGGACGTGTGATTTCATCAGACATCTGTGCAAGACTGCGCTTTCCTGATCCAGAGAATGTCGAATTCGAATCATCAGCTGTACATGGTAAGTTTGAAGATCTATTTAAGGAGAATATATTAACATCGGAGCATAGTACACAATGTCATCAATGGAAAACTGTCACTGCATGCAATGACTAATAAGTTTGCGCAGCTTAGCTAAAACTTATAAGATACTGTCGAAAAATGAAAGCCTGATAAGATTGCGGACTTATGAAAGGACTTATTGAAGATAAATGTGACAACCCTGTCACATATGTTTTACATAATAAAGAATAACAAATGTGGAACTTATGGGATACAAATGGAATTTTCGGAAACTATAAGTATTAAATAAGGTCACATACTTTAAAAACAATAGTACAAGACTTATAGGAAAAATTATCCAACAAAGTACTAAATAAGTACCTGATAGGTAGGGTTTTATATCCGAAATTTGCAGGATACTGATGTAGTACAGAAGAGAAACTTATGGAATACATATTGGGAACTTGTGTGACAGGGGAACAAATAAGGCAGGCAAAATAAAATGAAATAGTCAAAAACTTATACAATAATTATATGACAGGACATGTTGGAGAATGTCCAAAGGGGTGTGAAGCATGTTCAAGTGTGTTGAAGCTTAGTCTGGATGTGATGAAGTATGTTGGAAGGGTGTGAAGCATGTTCAAGTGTGTTGAAGCTTAGTCTGGATGTGATGAAGTATGTCGGAAGTGTGTGACAAATGCGGACATTTGTTATTCTTTATTATATAAAACATATGTGACAGGGTTGTCACATTTATCTTCAATAAGTCCTTTCATAAGTCCGCAATCTTATTGGGCTTTCATTTTTCGACAGTATCTTATAAGTTTTAGCTAAGCTGTGCAAACTTATTAGTCATTGCATGCAGTGTTTTGTTCTATCATTATCTAACTGGTTACTGCAGTGGGTAAAAACCCGTGCATCTGGTGGACTTCTGCTCGTTTCTCGGGACACCATTTCTCCAACGTTGCTATCATAAAAAGTACACCCCTTTTCATCTCAGATTGTCCTTGTTTCATGTCATTGTCAGATCTATGTGGATTACGATCACTGTCAAGTCCATGCCTCGGGCTTCCATTCCGCCGCTCGGTACTCCGAAGATCCACCTCTTATTGTAATCTTACTCTTATTGTTCTTTCTCACTACACATACCCTTTCGTTCTAGTCCCTCCTTATTGTCTTTTACTTTACCCTGCAGGTACTACTCATATAGCTCCTAGTAGTTAGTCTGGCACTCTGCACCGATGCGCCGATCCGTAGATATAAATACTGCCTGTACGCTACTGTAGTTCCTCAGTTTAATTATCGACTTAGATTTCCTCCTTAACTCTGTGCTCCTCTAAGTCTTCAGGCTCATCGCCTTGAAGTACTTTCTACTATAACCTTAGGACTTAGACATTCTCTGGTTCGCTCCTTGTCACCGGCGTTACCGCCGCTCCGACTTCTCTCTATACTCTCGATCTCCGGGGACTAACGGCGTAACGGCAGTGTTGTTAATAACTTCACTACTGTCCCACTTGTCTTCCGCACTTAGACACCTTGTGGCTTTGGCACGGTTACACGGTGTACATGATCTTAACAATCACCCAATTTAAATGCAGAGTCGCTGATGCCTCCCCATACTTCATCTACCCACAATCCAAGCCCTTGTCTAGAAACCCATGTATCTACCAGCTTGCTGTCAATGTTGGAAGAAGAGATCTTTGCAAGATCCCATGCCGCCTCACAGTCCTCCTCGAAACTAGTGTTCATCTCACCACCAAATAAAGATACCTCTTTTGTACTCCCCGACCCGGAGTCTCTTACTTCAGCTAACTGTGGTCAGTTTGCTCTGAAAACTACCGCACCAGCAAATTGAGAGTTTCTTGAACACGAAGCCTGGTTTTGTGGTGCAGTCATCCAGCTGCGTTTGATGCCCCGTGGAGATGGAGACGAAGCTAGCATACTTGAAGATTACGCACTTGATGCTTTGACTTCCTTGAATCAGCATAAGAAGAGCCAATGGATCCAGCAGTCTGATCCAATTGGTGCACATATCATCGATAATCGTGGGTCTGCTGCTTTATACTGATTCCCGAATTGTCTTGACTTAAACCTCCCTCCTTTAGGCTCTTACTTTCGGACTTTTTCCCGCCTCAGCCCCCTTCTGGAGACATTGTATATTGCTGCTGCAATTATTCATCTGCTGCTGCAAACACCAATCCGTCGCATGCGGGTGGTATTGGCATTACATCGGGGTATACTCCGGGCAACCGAAAGTCCAAATGCTATTGATGCTGCCTCCAACCTACCAAAGGACGTCCACACCATAATTGATCATTACGACTTGGATCCTCATTGCCATGCCCGTCTTGCCTGCCCAAAATGCTTCAAATTACACGGATTTTCACCACAATCCATTCAGCGCAATGAGGAATCTTACCGAGCTGATAAGAAGTTAGATAAATGTGTCGCATGCAGTACCACTTTGTGGCGAATACAGAGGATCGGAAATCGTTTTTTGTTGTCCCTATCCATAAACGAGAAATCCCACATCAGTTCCACTGCAATATATATGGTGAATCTTTGCCTACCAGAACATCTCAGATATAAGAAAGGGTACATGGCACTTGTGACCGTCTTCAATGGTGATCCCAATGTGAATGATATCAATCACATTCTGGATTGGATTGTGGATTTGCTTCTGCCATTTTGGGATGGGATCTATTTCACACAAACATGCTCTCATCCATTGGGGCATGTTGTGCGTGGAATTCTGATTCCTATTGTCTGTGATGTTGTTGGCGCTCACCATGTCTCGGGATTTGGCTCACATTCACACAAGTTATTTTGTACCCAATGTCTTCTTCTCAAATCTGACATAAACAACATTGACATGGCAACTTGGCCAAAGTGTAACCTCCAAAAGCACCAACTGTGGGCACAAGAATATCACAAAGCTACTAGTGATGAAGAACGTGATCACATTGTCAACACATATGGTGTTCGATGGACAGCATTACTACGATTACCTTACTGGAACCCAATTGCACATACTGTTATTGATAGTATGCACCTGTGCAAAGGACTTGCTGAAACCCATGTCCGTGGTGTCTTAGGAATCGAAGGTGATGCAAAACCTAAAGCGACATTGAAATCCAAATTCAAACCACCAGCCGCACTTCTTTGCTCTCTCTGGGATGGAATTCGGAAAGCTCCAGAAAATTTATCACAGTGGCTTGATTCTAAGGTCAACAAAAATACTACAGTTTTTTTATGTTCTTGTCTCCCGGATGTGCGAACCAATGGCAATAAAAAGGAGCTTATTGAAGCTCTTGTAACTTGGGTGCGATATTCAATCTTGGTCTAGATCCATACATCTCTAATATACAAATATGGCAGCGCAAGTCTGTTAGTGAAGAAAGTGTACCCATTATTCCTCCCCTACAGTATGTTTCTCTTACCCGGAAGGGTAAACGAAAAGAAATGGCAAGCTGGTTCATTTAAATAGCTTTATAATTTTAATTAAATGAATTTATATGTGCAGGAATCCTCTACAATTGATCTCCACACTATACCTCATTCCCGGGAATCATCTGTTGTATCTTCCATCAAACAAAGAAAAATGGTTAGATAACTTTCTAACATTCATTCATGTATTGAAATTTACCTTTCACTTGCAGGATACTGACTCAAGGGAGTCATCTGTCCTGTCTACTGCATCTTCTCTCCAGTCCATACTTCCATCTCCCTCTACCCCAAATAAGGATCCTGAACCTGCTCATTCTGTTCCAATGGCAGATCGGGACCATGTAGATGAAAAGAAGTTCTCCAACCTTAAGGCCAAACTTCTTGACCATGATAACCAACAACAAACTGAAAAACTACTCCCTCAAACTGTTACTAAGGCCTACCTGCATGCTTTATGTGATGATCTTAGGATTCCTTATCGCAAGTCTGAAAAGCGGAACTTGACTGATACAAAACCTCATTTGATCACACGGATTGACTACTGGGTAAACTGTTCTTTTTTCTCAATTCATAGATGTTACTAATATTGAAATTAGCGCCGGATGCATGTTCTCAATCAGGGTTTCCATAATCCTGATACACCTGCTCGAGAACCTTCTACATCTTCTGCAGTGTCTTCAACAAACCCACCTAGCTCATCAGTAAATTTGGCAATAGGAAGTTTTGCTCTCAGCCCATCTTCTATACCTTCCCCTATTCCTTCCCCTGCTCCTGGTGTATCATCTGCAGTTTCTCCTGCTTTAGATTCTTCCATATCAAAACCCCTACCAGAAATGGTACCTCAATCTTCATTTGATAGTGCAGGATACCAAGCTTTAAAACGAAAGTTCCTTGAAGATACAAAACCACTATCTATATCATCTCTATCCAAGTATGCCAAAGACTCACTTGTGAGATTATGCAAGGAGTTTAGTGTTCCAACCTATGGTGACAAAGCACTACTGGCAGAAAATCTGCTACTGTGGGTATGTATTTAAACTGTCTTTTTTGGTACCTTAAGGAGGAAGGACTAATCATGATGAATTCAGCATGCTGAACATCGGGACACACCAATTCCTCACACACCTTTTTCTGGAAATCTACTTACCAGTTCAATAATGGAGGAAGTCAGAATCGACATACAACGCTCCATTCTGCCTACTTGATTCAACCAGCACCTCTTGCCTGGGGTACTCCAAGTGGTGGAAAGCTTAGTGCTAATCACTGGAAAGTGATTTGTACCATTCATCTGGTTGTCACTCTGATCCGTGTTTGGGCCTATGGTAATGATGGTACAAAACTACCACTGCTTCAGAATTTTCTCCACTTGGTCAGGGCATTACAAATTCTCAACCTACGGTCAACCTCAAAGCAATTGAGTGAAGCATATACAAGTGAGATGCTTCAATATTTGACAACTTTGCAAGAGCTGTTTCCGAACTGGGAATTTGTGCCAAATCAGCATTACAGCCTCCATATGGGTGAATTTCTGCAAACCATGGGTCCACTTCATGCTCGAGATACCTCCGCATTTGAACGGGTCAACCACGAACTGCGAGACACAACTACAAATAGACGGATTGGTTGAGTTCTTTGATGTAGATATTTCACCTTGGTCCTTTGCTAACAGCGAATGATATAGGTCAAGCTGAAAATACCATGTTGACATCATACTGTCAACTAGGCAATCTCAGATTGCTGATCGATAACCGTCAGGAGCTGCATGACCGCATAGGGGAGACTCTCAACGTTCTGGATGATATTGCTTGTGAAGATCATCGGGGCATGTTTGCTGATACACAGACATTGGCTTGGACATCAACCAAGTTCAAATCACGAAAGGTCCTTATTTCTTCGGATGTATTGCAGCATATCCAGGACTATCTTTGCCTGAATTATCAGGTCTTAGCCGAGAAATGGCCCATTAACTTGACCACTGAAGTCACAGAGGTTGATGGTGTGTCTGTTGGCAGAGCTATCTACACATCATTCCAGCACCAACATCGTAACAGCTTTATCATCCTTGAACTGCAGCGGAATCAGTACTTTGCTGCTCGAATTCAGCAAATTTTCTACCACGCTCACCAACACCCTCACGATCCTCATTTGTCCGTGTCCGAGATCTATACTTCTGTGGATCTCCTGAATCCGTTAGACACCGATGTGCTTCCTGATTGGTATCGACAATTCAAGATGGGATGGCTTTGCTGTGATCCAAGCAATCCTTCCACACCAACCCCAGTACAAGTTACTGTGCCCTTGAAATATGCAGTTTCGCATTGTGTCTGGACACCCTTCGAGATCAATAATCATGCAATTTTACATGTTCTACCTGTGCCCAAAGTAAGGATTAGTTTCACATGTTGACTTACGATCATTTACCTAGGTATTTACAGACTTTTGAAGGCTCAGGCGGGCGACCTACTATTTGACCTTTGGGATTTGAGAAAAGTCGGTATTTGAACTGATAGTGATGCATTGATTAGGGAAAAGCAGATACACTGATATATATACCCATTGATAAATAAAACATATAGTTAACGCGAACACTCTGCCCATAATTATGAGAAAGACCGTCAGGGAAAAACCAAGTCCCCATTACAGGCGTAACCGCACTGTGGCCTGCTTGGCTCTTACTGGACTTGGGCAGCTAACAAAGTGCTTCTCCTGCACCTTGAGAGCCAAAGCCCACGCTATCGAGTTGCGAGCTCGACGCACCGACGGTCCTGGGTTTCGTGTGTTGAGCGGGGAAGTGAAAAGGATATATACAACAGGGTATGTCTCGGTTCATAAGTCCCTAGAATCTACGTCCGTTTCCCGGAATCTACATCAGCGTAAATATAGAACAAGTGACTTTCAATCTTTCCCTGGAATGATAGAGACCGGTTCAACCTACAGAGGGATGATCAAGAATTCACAACGAAATAAATCTGAATTGGACGTCTGGCCTTGTTTGTATATCTCGGTTGAGAATCTTGCTGGTACACCCCTTGAGAAGATGTGAAAAGATCGAGTAAGCCCATGTCTGATTTCCGGAACGATGACTCAGGACCATGAACGAGTTAGCTCAAATACATGGTGACAAGGCCGCTGAAAACAGTCTGATTTCCTCGAGTTGAACATGCACGAGTTAGCTCAAGTGTATGGCAGCCTCGAGGGATGATCAAGAATTCACAACGAGATAAATCTGAACCCGCTGTTGAAGGATCGGCCGCAGCATGCGTTGAGAATTTGTCTTGAGGGGAACGTCGAGGCTGAGAAAGTAATCAACAACGATGCGACTGGGGAAGCAGGGGTGGAGACAGCTGAACGCTGAACTCCTGAAGGTTAGTAATTGAGGAAGAGCGAGAGACAGAGGAACGATGACTCAGGATTATGAGAGTTAGCTCAAATACATGGTGGCAAGGCCGCCGAAAGCGGTCTGATTTTCGCGAGTTAGAGAGCGCACTCCATGGACGAGTTAGCTCAAGTACATGGAGGCAAAGCAATCGAAAAGAGCCCTGAAGGTTAGGAATTAGGGAAATGGGAGAGACAGCTGAGCGATGACTCAGGACCATGAACGAGTTGGCTCAAATACATGGTGACAAGGCCGCCGAAACCAGTTTGATTTAAGTTAGAGAGGGCGCACTCCATGAACGAGTTAGCTCGAGTACATGGAGGCAAAGTAGCAGAAAGAAGCCCTGAAGGTTAGGAATTAAGGAAATGCGAGAGACAGCTGAACGCTGAACGATGACTCAGGGACCATGAACGAGTTAGCTCAAGTACATGGTGACAAGGCCGCCGAAACCAGTTTGATTTCCGCAAGTTAGAGAGCGCGCACTCCATGAACGAGTTAGCTCAAGTACATGGTGCCAGTCAATATAACCAAGGAAAGAGGTTGGATTCCATGAAGTAGTTTGCAGAAGCAGAAGTACTACTTAAAGAGACCAGCGCGTGATCCATGAACGAGTTAGCTCTAATTCGTAGTACGAGGGATGTCGGGTCTACGAGCGTCATGAATATTAACGATGAAAGCAGAGCGAGGAGAAACATACCCGCTGTTGAAGGATCGGCTGCAGCAATGCGTTGAGAATTCGTCTTGAGGGGAACGTCGAGGCTGAGAAAGTGATCAACGACGATGCGACTGAGTGAACCTATTATACCTTGCCCGTTATCGTCCTAGTCCATGATATATCCACACGAGTTCCGAACTGAAGGATGACCACCGAGTGCTACACGAGTTTTCACTCACTGCAGCAAGTAGAGATGAAGGAAGAAGCGAAGAATATCTTAAACTCTCACGATCATGATCAGTTCTTTGTTTGTTTGGTCTTCGCTTTGTTTGGTCCGGGTTTCGGCCCGTTTTCAATCAACAACTCGACATCCTCGACATCGATACTTCCTCCAATACTTTGACCATGTACTGCAGCTAACTCGTGCATGGGCTCTCTCTCTCTCTCATCCTTCTCATATATGCCTTGAACTCAACAATACGGCTCTTCTCAACATTGGGAACCTCTTCACACACGTTCGACCATGTACTGGAGCTAACTCGTGCATGGGCTCTCTCTCTCTCATCCTTCTCATCTATGCCTTGAACTCAACAATATCAACATTGGGAACCTCTCCACACACGCTCGACTATCCGTTCATGGACTATATGTACGTTCTTCAAATTCTATCTCCTCACCTCACTCAAGACTATCTATGCAGCCATATTTCGACTTATTCTTGGTCACAGTCAACCCTTATCAAAGTCTACCGTTATGCTCAGATGCGTTCGTGCGTCAGTATTGAAGTCAACGGAGGGATGAGAATGCTCACCACATCTTCGCTATTGCCGAACGTGTATGGGTGGGGAGTACATTCGTATCCCTCTATCTCTGTTTCCGCCGCCTCCCCTTCCAAGTCCTCCCCCTTACGCATCCACACCCGCACCGACTCCCGCTCTCAATCCAATCCGTTAAAACCCTCCCAGACCTCGCCCCAATGCTCCTCAAACTGAACCTAAACCCGACTCTTCTTTCCCTCGGCAAAAAGAGCCGCTAAACAGCTTGCCAGAGGAGAAGACGAAGGTGATGATATTGGGTTCAAATGGTGAGGGTTCGAAAGATGAAAGAGAGGAAGGTCGTACAGTCCTCTCCTCACATCATCCCTCCCATTCGTTGAGAGTTCCTCTCCTCCTCCATCCTACCATTCATCTGATGATTCATTTTCAAATCAAACCGACCCCGCGATGATCCTTTCCGTGGTAAACGTCCTTTCGACCGCTATCAAAGCCAACGCTGCCGTGGTGCTGCAGATGCTTGATAAGCTTCCTGCTCTTGGAGTTGAGCAGAGGGCGATTGTGGAGGCGGTGTTGGAACTAGAAGATTCGGCGGCAACGGGTGTTGCGGGAGGTGATATGATGAATACAAGGGGCACGACGGAGATGGGCAAGTCCACGAAGTTTATGATGAATATGGACGTGGTACGTCTCTCTCTTTCCTCAAAAATTTCATCTTTAATCGCTGACTACTCTATAGGTTCCTCGTCTCTTCCGGCCTCCCAGATGGTAGGAGGAGGAATCACGGCGCCAGGCATCGTTGGGTCTGATATCCCTGTTAACGACCTATCATTTGTCTTCTATCTTGTAATGACTGTCATGCCGTCCTCAATGACCCTTACGACCTTTGATGATTTTCTTACTCTCCCAATTTTATCACCACCACTTTCCTTAAGCCTTTCGTTTGTCGTCCCCACAGGAGGCGCCTATTCAATAATCACTCATTTGTTCAGTCTCATACATATCATTCCTCATTTAACCTTTCTTTGCTCATTGACAACATTTTCCTTCCAACAGTTTATCAACCCTGTTCATCTCAAGAAACATTCTTTCCATAAACAATGTTCGTTACACTTTGGTATAGATACACTCTTTTGTTTACCCGTACAACAAAATATAATTCACCCTCTTTTGTAAAAAGCGATAGAGTACCTAGAACTTTAAGAATGAACGCAGATATTCAGCTGCCAGGAGGTCATTCTTTTGCGAAAGTCTTGGGGCATCCTTACTGAACTTCAATGCTGATCGCCATTGATTATTGGTAAGAATTTTGATCGACCCAGGTCTTTCAAGAATGCCTTTCAGACGAGATTGAAACCAATTCTCTGCATCACTAGACCAGTATCCAACATTGAGTCCGCAAAATTTCCATGATATCGGTCGGGGCCACCATGATCTGATAGCATATTGAGGTTCTCCGTCCTTGCTCATGATTTCTTGCGTTAATGGTCAGAAATATGCTGCTGATTTTTCGAGAAAGCTACCTACCTGTAGCGATTTCATAAGTTCCGCAAATAAGGTCTATCTCATCCTCAGTCAACTCGTCATCCCAAAAAGCAGCCTTTTGTCTGGGGTCCCAAACACAGAGTGCATTTTGCCCATGTAGTGCACGTTCAGTAGGTCCATCCAGAACATCATTCACATTGACAACCTCACGAGCAAGACGAGCAATCAAACCACCGGCTAAAATTGCTGCGCGACCTCTCACTGAACGCAGGAAAATGTCTCGTCTGTGTTCATATGAGTGATACTCCTCCAAGCCTGGTGAGAACCCGCAGGGACGACGTCCCAAAAGAACTGATTTGCGCTGAGGTGGTGAAAGGTAACCGGTAGGTGGGTAATAAACGGATAATGTATTGAAGGAAAATCCGCCTTTGATCAAGTTCTGCAAAAGGTCTGCAGTTCGAGGACCCCAATTACGTCGTGCAATTTCCATCACAGTGCCAGCACTGGAAAATGCAAGATGAAATGGTTCATTATCATGAGCTTCTGGAGCCTGCAACAGGAAGTAGAGGCGGTCGCGAGAAGGTAGAACGTCCACCTCGAAGGGCAATGGAGGTTGCAAGCTCACTAAATCAAAATTTCTCGGAGCGGAAGCTAAGTTTGTGGCTTTCAAAAGATCAAAAAGGAAACTACAAAGAGCCAGTTCGGATTGGCTATTTCGAAGAGAAGGTCTAGGCTGCCGTCCATAGCCAATCAGAGCCAATGCTTGACCCCAAACACCAGCAGAAAACTTGACCGGGCGGTTAGAATGGTTGTCCCTAAGAATAAATCCGAAGCGATGTTTGACCACGTTGTCAATCTCCTCATTGAATATAACAGGATCGCGAGAGCGAGAGAAAGATTGAAGGCGCGCAAGATATGCATTGGAGGATGATGGATGATGGTTATGGTCAATTTCCTGGTTTATTATGGATTGTGGCGTGATGAAATAGTCGTCATCTTCGTCGTCGTTGTCTCCAAAGGATGGTTCATCATTCGGATTGAGCTCTGTGCATATATCCCATTCATCTGCGACAGCATCATAACATCTTTGACGCGGACCATATCGTTCCCAAATGTCTTCATAATTAGATCTGCCGACTGCAGTGCGAACACGAATGCCCTCAACCAAATCCCAATAGTAGACCCGTGCTCCTTTGCGCCCTGGCGGCATATCTTTGGATGCATTTTCTTCACGCTGAAGACGAGACTGTCGATCCTTGGCACTTTCAGTAGCAATAGCCCTATCTTTGTCACTAGCTCGCCGTTTGAGAAACTCAAATACACCTTCATTTCTACGTGGTTGAGTTCCACCATCGATCCGGGGTAGACGCAACTGCCTGGTACGAGTAGAGCTATGCTGGGTGTTGAGAAGAATTGGTTCTATTGGAGAGTAAGGAGATTGTTTGGAGATCAGAGACTTGACCATGACGCCAGTTGGAAACGGTAGCGCAGGAGATAGTGCTTCTGGTATACTCCAGTTTTGCACGGTTCCCCAATATAGTGCTACAGGCATTTTGGTTTCAAGGAAGATATTCAGCCAGGGTAAACAACCTGAATTATGAACATCCATGAAGACCCCGACCATAGGGATCTCCATGATTTCGTAAAAATATGACAACCATTCGGTACTAATGAAGGTCTCCTTCTGCAGCCTTTCTTGCCAATTCCACTTAGAAGGTACTGGCCCGCGACGGCGTTCAGCTTCTGCGTTTTGTCTTGCGCTCCAAAACGGGTTTGGATTGGGTAGACCGACCCGAGTGTCGGTTGCGAGAAGCGTCACCCATTTGTTCTGCATATGATAGAGTAGGTGAAGGAAAAATGAGACAGAAGCTATTAGAGGGATGAAAGCTTGGCGAGATCGATAAGCAGCGGCGCGAGCATCATCACGAGTTGTGTAACTTCGTGAATATCCGTATTGGAGAGGAAATGACCATAGTCGAAGGTCGTCTGGAACGCCGACTCCATTAACCTTCATACAGGCCCTAAGGAAGACCCTTATATTCCTTTCTAGTGAATCCCAGTCTGTTTTCAGCGACGGCTTCAAACCATAGCCACAATCAGCATCACCGACAATAGGCAGTGCCTGGGCACTGAAGTCCAAGCAGCGAAAGAAGTCACATTTAAATGGATTACTGCTAGGTGCAAACCCCATGTATGGGAGAGACGAGGTGACCCATCCTGGTGCGAAGAAGTTTGGCATGGTCGCTTCGCGAGGACTGGGCTTTAAGTGTGTTGTCTTAGGAGGGACGAAAGGAAAGGATGCCGGCTTTGGGCCAATGAACGTGAAAACATCGGAGTCTATCACTGCATGAAAATGAGGAGGCTCTGTGGTTAGAGATTCCGATGTTGCAAGGGAGTAGATCATGAATAATTTTGAGACTTTGACAGAGTTTTGAGTACACGAGAATCCCAGCGGCTTCCACTAGATCTTACCTTGTTGGAGTTTGAAGGAGAGCTATTACCAGTGGCTGCAGTACACTTCCACCAGGTTTTACCTTAATGGAAGCTAAAGGAATACTGTCTTAAACAGTTCGAGGACGAGGGAGAAGCGGAGGCTAAGTTGGACTTAAGAAAGAAAAAAAAAAGCACAAAGTCACGAGACCTACTAGTCACGAGGCTTATCTGTCACGAGATCTATCTGGCGCGCTGAGCGCTCCGACGAAATAATACAACTACCTGGCCTGATAGCCACTGGAGATGGAGATCCAGGTCAGAATAGGTCAGAATGCACACAAAAATTTCTGGACCAGTCCGATCCTGATCCGCTCGATAGAATATTGTTCAATGACCGTAAGATAATTTCTAATTCACGGAAAAATCTGATACATTAAATAATTTACAGATAGATAGATAGATAGATACACGGCGCCACCCTAACGTACAGTAAGCAGGCGAGCTACCATGAACGTCGAAGCTACTCTACTACGTCCTGTTGTAAGTCTTTCAAGATTGAGTGAATAGCACTGAAATTTCAATCAAGATTCAGGACAATATGTTCTATATGGACCGTGTATATGATTTCAGCTACTTCACCATGGATGATGATGGTATGGTATGGGAGGTGAATGAAAACGAGGCTGATGAGTACGATTATTCGTGGTTAGTTCCTTACAACGCAACAACTCATAGAATATCAACAGGCCAGCATTTCGATCGTACGTGTACCGCTTACCTTCGAACAATGCAAGCTAAGGTCGCAAGAAGGCAATCATCTCAGCCGCGACGCCAGGTAAGGTGAAGTGCAGCACATGAACAAAACATTTATGTATGATTGGCAGGGGCTCAGCGCGGTAAAGCTACTTCTCCGAAACCTACACGCGCTGCAACCGTTGAGCCTGGACATAGTGCCAGTTCTCCGCCACCAGTATCATTCGCATCTGGCCGGAAAGCACCAAAGTACAAGATCAAGCCCTCACCGCCTCCTATCATAGGGGGGAAAATTGATCCAGGTAGATTACGGACTGCGCCGTTCACCTCTCGGACCAGTCAAGGCGTCACTCCGTGTTATGAAACTCAGAGTGACGAAGATCTCGAGGAACCTATGCCAGTCCCAGCGCTGTCATTGGAAGGGACGGTGTACATACATCGAAACGCGAACGATGGTTGTTACCAAGTTTGGGTTTGGAAGTTGGGTAACAATGGACGGAAGAGCTGGCATCCAGTCGACCTCGATGGAGATGCAGTCATACACCCGAAAATCAGTGACAGAATGCTCCGACTGACGCGCAACGGAAAACCTAGTTGGATCCTAACAAGTACCCAGACTACGTACGAATCCCGCGAGATACATCGCGAGCGAGCACAATCTCGAGCGCGATCTCAATCTCGAGGAGCCGTAGTTAGTTAGGAGCTGATAAACGAGCTATATGTCCAGATCTTGATGAGTAATTCCATGTTTATCGCGACGATGTGCATGCGCGCATCGTGCCTACAAGACTGTCTGACACTGAGTTGACTGGTTGAACACAGGTCATTGGATTCCACGCGGGAATGATGCAAAAGAGTAACATTGTGAAAGGTTGAGACGATCATTAATTACAGACAGAATCATCTATCTCCATTTAATGACGAACAATGCTACGGACTTCCTGTAACCGTATAGACCTTTGCGGCCTCGAAAACGCATCTTGCAAACGCAGTTCGTCGTCACCATCAGACCCAACGATGCCTGGCGCCGTGATTCCTCCTCCTACCATCTGGGAGGCCGGAAGAGACGAGGAACCTATAGAGTAGTCAGCGATTAAAGATGAAATTTTTGAGGAAAGAGAGAGACGTACCACGTCCATATTCATCATAAACTTCGTGGACTTGCCCATCTCCGTCGTGCCCCTTGTATTCATCATATCACCTCCCGCAACACCCGTTGCCGCCGAATCTTCTAGTTCCAACACCGCCTCCACAATCGCCCTCTGCTCAACTCCAAGAGCAGGAAGCTTATCAAGCATCTGCAGCACCACGGCAGCGTTGGCTTTGATAGCGGTCGAAAGGACGTTTACCACGGAAAGGATCATCGCGGGGTCGGTTTGATTTGAAAATGAATCATCAGATGAATGGTAGGATGGAGGAGGAGAGGAACTCTCAACGAATGGGAGGGATGATGTGAGGAGAGGACTGTACGACCTTCCTCTCTTTCATCTTTCGAACCCTCACCATTTGAACCCAATATCATCACCTTCGTCTTCTCCTCTGGCAAGCTGTTTAGCGGCTCTTTTTGCCGAGGGAAAGAAGAGTCGGGTTTAGGTTCAGTTTGAGGAGCATTGGGGCGAGGTCTGGGAGGGTTTTAACGGATTGGATTGAGAGCGGGAGTCGGTGCGGGTGTGGATGCGTAAGGGGGAGGACTTGGAAGGGGAGGCGGCGGAAACAGAGATAGAGGGATACGAATGTACTCCCCACCCATACACGTTCGGCAATAGCGAAGATGTGGTGAGCATTCTCATCCCTCCGTTGACTTCAATACTAACGCACGAACGCATCTGAGCATAACGGTAGACTTTGATAAGGGTTGACTGTGACCAAGAATAAGTCGAAATATGGCTGCATAGATAGTCTTGAGTGAGGTGAGGAGATAGAATTTGAAGAACGTACATATAGTCCATGAACGGATAGTCGAGCGTGTGTGGAGAGGTTCCCAATGTTGATATTGTTGAGTTCAAGGCATAGATGAGAAGGATGAGAGAGAGAGAGCCCATGCACGAGTTAGCTCCAGTACATGGTCGAACGTGTGTGAAGAGGTTCCCAATGTTGAGAAGAGCCGTATTGTTGAGTTCAAGGCATATATGAGAAGGATGAGAGAGAGAGAGCCCATGCACGAGTTAGCTGCAGTACATGGTCAAAGTATTGGAGGAAGTGCAATTGAGACCAACAGGAAAGACCAGCACAGGTAAGCGTGAGAATATTTTCACGCGCGCTTAAAATAAGAAAGGACCGTTAGAAGTTCAAGCAAGGTGATGTTATCAAGCGCGTGATGTGACGTGATTGAGGCGGTTGCCTCTTGGTCTGCACCACAATGACCGACGAAGTAGACCTCCCCACTTTGCCTCACTCGCTCACAGAGTCCGTAGAATTATTAGATCGTTTCTCTTTCAATCCTCGTCTCCCATCTTTTTTCGAACTTCCCGACTACAAAGAATTTCTTGAACATGATTTCCCCGCGCCATCTATCTCTTCTATAACATCGAAGGCCAACCAGGCTCAATTCCCAGCTTTCTTTTATCCTTCTGCTCTGGTCGAATTCGCTTACTCTGATTCTCTTGAGGTCGAAGAAATAACCCGCGAATCTGGTTTATCACTTTACTTCTCAGCAGAGACTCTTCGTACCATATTCCGTCCATTTTCACCCGATCAAACGAAAGGCGATAGCTTTCCTCTTACAGAAGCTCAGACTCAGGAAATCTTCGACGCCGCTGAGCCTTATTTGGTTTGTTCTGTATTGTCTACCCATATATACTCTCTGACTCTTCCAATTCTAGCAATATATCGCTCGAGCCTGGCTGAGGAAGGTCAACTGTCCTTTGTTTGTATTGGATATCTTGGCGTACGCCGAGCAACAAGCTCGAGAAAGCCTGCTTGCTATGTTAGTGATCGATGAAATTATCAGCACCTGGTGTCTAGGAGACGCGGAGAACAATATTTTGAAGGCATGATATCCATTTCTCATGACTTCTCCTTCGATTTCTCAAAAATCCTCTCGTCACTAGTCTTATGATGATGCTATGCTGGGAACGGTGTTTCCTCAAGTACCGATTCCCTTTTCTATACGATCGCGCGAAGGAGACGCGATTTTTCGTATTCGTAAAGGGGACCCGGATATTGATCCATTCCTTCCTCTTCGTAGTCATCGAGAGGTTGGAAAGGATCAGCCACGATTGACCTCGCATGATTCAGTCCGAGATAACTCTGCGTCCAGTTCTGGTGCGTTCTTTCTATCTTTCCTTCAAATGTCGCTTATTTTCGCATCAATGTTAGTCACTCTTCCTATAACTAAGGCAAAGAAGGAGTCAAAATCTGTGTTGTTTACTCAATCAACAAGCAGTCCCAACATATCCATATCTCCTATGCCAGCTAAAGCCGAGGCCCTGAAACTTTCATCGTCTACTGTTTCCTCAACTCGCGGTAGTCGCAACCAGCCTGCGCGCAAGGCCAAAAATAATCATTCTGTTTTACATGCCCGTAGCGTTGATCCCCCAGATGACGGCGTGGTACATCGTTCTGTAGCAAGCCAGGTTGTCAAGTCAGGTTTCAAACGTCGCAAGGTATCAGTGGATGACTGGACACCTTCGAGCATGAATAGAGTCGAGGATATAGTTCGAGAGCAATCTTCTAAAATCGAGCCTAGTATAGCCTTAGGAGCTCGACTGTCTCATGTATCTCCGGGGCGCGGTAGCCGTGGCCGACCTGCTGGTGGTGCAAAAAAAAAAGATCAAACTTCGAGTTCCACCCATATCGATTATAAACGTGGTCAATCTGTCAAGATGGAACATGATAACATAGCAGATGATGTGAAGAATGGGACGAAGAAACACAAGAATAAGGTGATCTCAAATAGAACAGCTGAACTCGAAGGTTCTCGGGTCAGTGATGAGTATATACCTACTGCTCGACCTCTTCTCCTTGTCGATCCCAAAGGCCATCTTGTCCTTCCCGATCTCACTGGGCCTGAGATGGAAGAGCTTGATGGTATTGACCATGTTCAGGCAAGTTTCCAAACTTCTGTGATTGTTCCTATATCAATACTTTACTAGAATGGGGAACCCTTCCGCCGTAATTCTCTGCTGTTCGAGCTTGACGAGACTTTGCTCAATCTGGGAACCAAGTTGACTGCGCAGAACACCCATTTCAATTTTGCGGATCTTGTCACTGTCAGTCGAACCATCCGGTTGGTAAGTCTTGGCAGCGACTCGACCACGTTTTCAATCTCTAATATCTTGTCGATAGCCAACCATCCACGATCAAGCTTGCATTTCGCTGTTATCTGCAGAAGATTCAGACACCACCGACATTGAATTACCGTTGGACTCGAAATGTCAACGCTGCCAGCAAGGTTCTAAACTTTGTCTACTGGCAAATCAACTTTCGACGGTCATTCCCGCTATGAACAACATATTTGCTGTTTCTGGAAATCACTCAGACAGTTCGTTGAAATTAAATATTTTCTTTTCCTGGTATAACTTCAGTTTTACAGGTTTAGGGTTAATGCTTCAACGACTAGATGACCTTTTAAGGCACATGGAACTCATCGAATCCAGCTATGCTCAAACAAGAACTATTTTTCTGCAGACCATGGAAAACCTTCAAACTGCAGGTGCTGATCCTATCACGGTCCTTGAAGCGCTTCGTCTTGGAGAACCAGAACGTCGCTCAATTTCAGTCGAAGAAATGACAATGTTGGCAACATTGTTCAACTGGTCTAGTCTATTGAATTTTCGAAAGTTAGACACTGCGGTTGGCCGTAGTACTGCCGAGTGGCTCCAACTTCTCCGAAAACTTCATTCTGGGGAAACTACTCTGGATAACGAAGGCAATGAGATCTCTTCGGATGTAGTATCTTCTTCCATCACCCCGAAATCCAAACTTAGTGAATGAGATCGTGACGCCGTGTTCGTGACATAAACCCATTTATCCTTGTCATGGCTCTTCATTTACAATTTACATGGATGCTGAAATATGAAGAAACTTGATACGTGTACATGAACTTTGGTCGAGATCTGTTCTATACCTTCTCTTTCGGAATTTCTCTTGTAGTGCCGTAGATCAATTATGTGGTCAGTACATTGTGATTGGTAAACAATAAACACAAGGACATTGTTTTTTTACACCAACTGCAGTCTTGCGATAATTTTGGTGGCAAAACTACAAAGCGCGGCTTGCAAGACAACTTGAACAAGTGCTACAAAAACACCACTCGAAAGTCGAGGGGCAGGTTGATTTACTACGTGTACATTGAGAATGCAAAGCTCATTAGCAAACTCACTAGGTTTGAAAAACGTTCGCCTCGAAAGATAAATTAGAGCCGATATGGTTGTTCGGGAATCGGACCTCACCAGTATAATTCAACTGTCCTATCCTATCCTCGCGGCTGCCATGATTTTTATTGCACAACCCCAGTTGATACCCTACCATCGTGAGCGGGGAATAAAACCTGAGTCGGTTTCACTTACTGTTATTCTAACGATGTATGTTATAGTGTCGATATCTAGCACATATCCTTTGTTAGAACTCACCGGGAAACTAGAGAGACAGCGGCTACGTACATCCCAGAAGCCATGAAAGATAATTTCGATACTTTGAAGACGAAAAGTGAAATGTTCAGTAATAAACGCCTCCGGAAGTTGGCGTAGAGGATCCCAACTCAGCCATCGCTGTAGCAATGCGCATGAGGAAGAGCGAGCAGACAGCCCATCCCCATACTGACGGCGGCACCATATGGAATAGAGTATACAAGAACTGATCTGAAAAATATTAACGTGATCGGTTTTATCGACGAACGCAAGATATCGCTCACGCGATAGAAGGCACGACGCCCTGGATCGAATACGCTACCCCAAAGAGCTCCAATAATCCGAAATCACGTTTGAATTCCTGTTTATACCCGAGTTGTACAAGTAAAACTTCGTCTTTGGCCTCGATTCTGGACATGCTCACGGACTTCGAGGTGGGTCAAAAGGAGGAGACGACCGTTATCGCGTTTGGTCACTATAAGTAGGTGATTGCTTATCTTTAGCTGTTGAACTTTGAGCATACGACAAGATACATAACCCATCCCACAGACTAGGACCCACATACTCGATAGATCAACAAAGTTGTAACTCACTTTCGTGATAATTACATGTGTTCACTTTCTCTCTATGCAACTCGTGAGATTGAAAGGAATGGAACCAAGCATTGAGTCCACCCGAGAGGTGGTCATTTGCATTCCTAACCGAAACGAACGGGTGGCCTAAGCTATAATAATAGTGGTCAGCCTGTGCCCTGGCTTTGAAGAAACCAGATTCTTCCCTCTGCATAGTACATACAATGGGTCAAAAAGTGATATCCAGCCTATGCACTGGCATGAGGAATTTTCAGATAAACCAGGATAATTAATCTCCTTATCGGATTAGCCTCATAAGGTTTATCTCTACATTTCCCCGGTTCACCCGTATGTAATCCTACATGATATGTAAGGCTGTAGATAGTCCTTCAATCAGAAATATAAAATTTTCTGCAAGACTCACCGAATAGGTGGAGTCACATGAGTACCGAATGCCGCTCCCGCAGTCCCGCCCTGGTCCCGCCACACAGATTGCCCCAAATCTGTGTGGCGGAACCTGAACGGGGACGGAAACAATGCCTTGGTTGATTGAAAGATATATCGGCCGTTAAAATGTCTGCGCCAAAATTTGCCTTTGCAGGCCCCTCTAGCGAGGATTCTTGATTTTTCTACGTCAGCCTCCTCGATGGGTCTGCTTCAGGCCTGATGCATTCCATCCTTTCAGGTTTTCGGTTTTCTGAATTGTTCATAAATACTCCTGCGTAAAGGACCCAAAAATGCTGGTCAACATCCCGATATTGAACTCGCTGCCCTTGTAAAAGTTTCTTGTAGTCATCTTGCTCAAATCTTTGTCTTAAACCAAACCTGACATTACGCAAGACAGCGTTGCTTAGCTCAAAGCGATGTCAAGTCCTCTCAAGGAACCGCGTGCCAATGTCAGAAATTCCTGTTTCTCAAATGTTTCCTGTAATGACCGTTGACGGTGAATCCTTCAATGGGACCGTGTCGGTTTTTTCCTTCCCTTTCCTTCCTTATCTAAACTAAGAGTAGCATCAGAGGGCTTATTGACAGTCAATATCTACAGTACTTGAGTATTTGAATGAAGTCTACTGGTGGCGTGAACAATGCTACAAATACCAGGATGTTTACCAAAGGAATTTGTGTTCTGAGGTCACTCTCCTTTGGATGATTCAGAAGACAAGATCACCATCTCATGAGGTGATGAAGAAATTACTGTATCACAAGAGATCTCCCTGCCCTGGTCATCGATGGTACTTTGTCCGGAATGAATTCTTTGAAGAAGTTCGACAATATTATAACCAGATGCATCATCCAACTTCAGAAAATTCGAGGGTATCGACCAATTGAATAAAGTCGCTAACGCCGTCATTTCTTCGACGGAGATGGGGTGATGCTCTGATTCTCTGAGCCGAAGCGCTTCAAGGACCGTAGGAGGGTTGGCACCAGCAGTTTGAAGGTTTCGCATGGTTTGCAAAAAACTAGTTTTCGTTTGAGCATAGCCGGATTTCATTAGTTCCATATGTCAATAAAGGCCAAGCAGTCGGTGAAGCAGCAACCTCAAATCTGTGAAGCAGAAGTAACAGACATAACAGTATAGCATAACAGTATTCAACTCACTGTCTGTGCAGATTTGTGAAGCAACAAATATGTTATTCATAGCAGGAATGGCCGTTGAGAGTTGCATTTCCGATAAACATCGTTTGGAACTTTTCTGGCAGCGTTGACATTTTGAGCCCAACTGTGATCCAATGTCATTCAGGTTTGATTCTCCTCTGGATAACAGCGAAATGCAAGCTTGATCATCAACTGTTGGCTATTAACAACATCAGAGATTGCGAAAGGGTGTTGTTGCTGGTTGAGACATACCAACCGGATGGTACGATTGAGAGTGACAAGATCCTTAAAATTTAGACGGGTGTTCTGCGCAGACAAAATAGTTCCCAGATTGAGCAAACTCTCATCAAGTTCGAACAGCGGAGAACTACGGCGAAAGGGTTCACCATTCTGGTAAAGTATTAATATATGGATAATCACAAAAGTTCGAAAACTTGCCCGAACACGGTCAATACTGGCAAGTTCTTCCACCTCGGGACCAGTGAGATCAGGCAGGACAAGATGGCCTTTGGGATCGACAAGGAGAAGAGGTCGAGCAGTAGGTATATACTCATCACTGACCCGAGAACCCTCGACGTCGGCAGTACTGTTTGAGATTGCGTTATTCTTGTGTTTCTCCGGCCCATTCTTCACATCATCTACTACGTTATCATGTTCCGTCTCGATAGATTGACCACGTTCCGTCTTGACAGATTGACCGCGTTCCGTCTTGACAGATTGACCGCGTTCCGTCTTGACAGATTGACCGCGTTCCGTCTTGACAGATTGACCGCGTTCCGTCTTGACAGATTGACCACGTTCATAATCGGTATGGGTGGAACTCGGAGTTTGATCTTTTGTTTTTGCACCAGCAGGTCGGCCACGACTACCGCGCCCCGGAGATACATGAGACAGTCGAGCTCCTAAGGCTATACTAGGCTCGATTTCAGAAGATTGGCCTCGGAGTATATCCTCGACTCTATCCATGTTCGAAGGTGTCCTGGTATCCACTGATACCTTGCGACGTTTGAAACCTGACTTGACAACCTGGCTTGCTTCAGAACGATGTACCACGCCGTCATCTGGGGGATCAACGCTACGGGCATGTAAAACAGAATGATTATTTTTGGCCTTGCGCGCAGGCTGGTTGCGACTACCGCGAGTTGGGGAAACAGTAGACGATGAAAGTTTCAGGCCCTCGGTTTTAGCTGGCATAGGAGATATGGATATGTTGGGACTGCTTGTTGATTGAGTAAACAACACAGATTTTGACTCCTTCTTTGCCTTAGTTATAGGAAGAGTGACTAACATTGATGCGAAAATAAGCGACATTTGAAGGAAAGATAGAAAGAACGCACCAGAACTGGACGCAGAGTTATCTCGGACTGAATCATGCGAGGTCAATCGTGGCTGATCCTTTCCAACCTCTCGATGACTACGAAGAGGAAGGAATGGATCAATATCCGGGTCCCCTTTACGAATACGAAAAATCGCGTCTCCTTCGCGCGATCGTATAGAAAAGGGAATCGGTACTTGAGGAAACACCGTTCCCAGCATAGCATCATCATAAGACTAGTGACGAGAGGATTTTTGAGAAATCGAAGGAGAAGTCATGAGAAATGGATATCATGCCTTCAAAATATTGTTCTCCGCGTCTCCTAGACACCAGGTGCTGATAATTTCATCGATCACTAACATAGCAAGCAGGCTTTCTCGAGCTTGTTGCTCGGCGTACGCCAAGATATCCAATACAAACAAAGGACAGTTGACCTTCCTCAGCCAGGCTCGAGCGATATATTGCTAGAATTGGAAGAGTCAGAGAGTATATATGGGTAGACAATACAGAACAAACCAAATAAGGCTCAGCGGCGTCGAAGATTTCCTGAGTCTGAGCTTCTGTAAGAGGAAAGCTATCGCCTTTCGTTTGATCGGGTGAAAATGGACGGAATATGGTACGAAGAGTCTCTGCTGAGAAGTAAAGTGATAAACCAGATTCGCGGGTTATTTCTTCGACCTCAAGAGAATCAGAGTAAGCGAATTCGACCAGAGCAGAAGGATAAAAGAAAGCTGGGAATTGAGCCTGGTTGGCCTTCGATGTTATAGAAGAGATAGATGGCGCGGGGAAATCATGTTCAAGAAATTCTTTGTAGTCGGGAAGTTCGAAAAAAGATGGGAGACGAGGATTGAAAGAGAAACGATCTAATAATTCTACGGACTCTGTGAGCGAGTGAGGCAAAGTGGGGAGGTCTACTTCGTCGGTCATTGTGGTGCAGACCAAGAGGCAACCGCCTCAATCACGTCACATCACGCGCTTGATAACATCACCTTGCTTGAACTTCTAACGGTCCTTTCTTATTTTAAGCGCGCGTGAAAATATTCTCACGCTTACCTGTGCTGGTCTTTCCTGTTGGTCTCAATTGCACTTCCTCCAATACTTTGACCATGTACTGCAGCTAACTCGTGCATGGGCTCTCTCTCTCTCTCATCCTTCTCATATATGCCTTGAACTCAACAATACGGCTCTTCTCAACATTGGGAACCTCTTCACACACGTTCGACCATGTACTGGAGCTAACTCGTGCATGGGCTCTCTCTCTCTCATCCTTCTCATCTATGCCTTGAACTCAACAATATCAACATTGGGAACCTCTCCACACACGCTCGACTATCCGTTCATGGACTATATGTACGTTCTTCAAATTCTATCTCCTCACCTCACTCAAGACTATCTATGCAGCCATATTTCGACTTATTCTTGGCAAAGTCGGTATTTGAACTGATAGTGATGCATTGATTAGGGAAAAGCAGATACACTGATATATATACCCATTGATAAATAAAACATATAGTTAACGCGAACACTCTGCCCATAATTATGAGAAAGACCGTCAGGGAAAAACCAAGTCCCCATTACAGGCGTAACCGCACTGTGGCCTGCTTGGCTCTTACTGGACTTGGGCAGCTAACAAAGTGCTTCTCCTGCACCTTGAGAGCCAAAGCCCACGCTATCGAGTTGCGAGCTCGACGCACCGACGGTCCTGGGTTTCGTGTGTTGAGCGGGGAAGTGAAAAGGATATATACAACAGGGTATGTCTCGGTTCATAAGTCCCTAGAATCTACGTCCGTTTCCCGGAATCTACATCAGCGTAAATATAGAACAAGTGACTTTCAATCTTTCCCTGGAATGATAGAGACCGGTTCAACCTACAGAGGGATGATCAAGAATTCACAACGAAATAAATCTGAATTGGACGTCTGGCCTTGTTTGTATATCTCGGTTGAGAATCTTGCTGGTACACCCCTTGAGAAGATGTGAAAAGATCGAGTAAGCCCATGTCTGATTTCCGGAACGATGACTCAGGACCATGAACGAGTTAGCTCAAATACATGGTGACAAGGCCGCTGAAAACAGTCTGATTTCCTCGAGTTGAACATGCACGAGTTAGCTCAAGTGTATGGCAGCCTCGAGGGATGATCAAGAATTCACAACGAGATAAATCTGAACCCGCTGTTGAAGGATCGGCCGCAGCATGCGTTGAGAATTTGTCTTGAGGGGAACGTCGAGGCTGAGAAAGTAATCAACAACGATGCGACTGGGGAAGCAGGGGTGGAGACAGCTGAACGCTGAACTCCTGAAGGTTAGTAATTGAGGAAGAGCGAGAGACAGAGGAACGATGACTCAGGATTATGAGAGTTAGCTCAAATACATGGTGGCAAGGCCGCCGAAAGCGGTCTGATTTTCGCGAGTTAGAGAGCGCACTCCATGGACGAGTTAGCTCAAGTACATGGAGGCAAAGCAATCGAAAAGAGCCCTGAAGGTTAGGAATTAGGGAAATGGGAGAGACAGCTGAGCGATGACTCAGGACCATGAACGAGTTGGCTCAAATACATGGTGACAAGGCCGCCGAAACCAGTTTGATTTAAGTTAGAGAGGGCGCACTCCATGAACGAGTTAGCTCGAGTACATGGAGGCAAAGTAGCAGAAAGAAGCCCTGAAGGTTAGGAATTAAGGAAATGCGAGAGACAGCTGAACGCTGAACGATGACTCAGGGACCATGAACGAGTTAGCTCAAGTACATGGTGACAAGGCCGCCGAAACCAGTTTGATTTCCGCAAGTTAGAGAGCGCGCACTCCATGAACGAGTTAGCTCAAGTACATGGTGCCAGTCAATATAACCAAGGAAAGAGGTTGGATTCCATGAAGTAGTTTGCAGAAGCAGAAGTACTACTTAAAGAGACCAGCGCGTGATCCATGAACGAGTTAGCTCTAATTCGTAGTACGAGGGATGTCGGGTCTACGAGCGTCATGAATATTAACGATGAAAGCAGAGCGAGGAGAAACATACCCGCTGTTGAAGGATCGGCTGCAGCAATGCGTTGAGAATTCGTCTTGAGGGGAACGTCGAGGCTGAGAAAGTGATCAACGACGATGCGACTGAGTGAACCTATTATACCTTGCCCGTTATCGTCCTAGTCCATGATATATCCACACGAGTTCCGAACTGAAGGATGACCACCGAGTGCTACACGAGTTTTCACTCACTGCAGCAAGTAGAGATGAAGGAAGAAGCGAAGAATATCTTAAACTCTCACGATCATGATCAGTTCTTTGTTTGTTTGGTCTTCGCTTTGTTTGGTCCGGGTTTCGGCCCGTTTTCAATCAACAACTCGACATCCTCGACATCGATACTTCCTCCAATACTTTGACCATGTACTGCAGCTAACTCGTGCATGGGCTCTCTCTCTCTCTCATCCTTCTCATATATGCCTTGAACTCAACAATACGGCTCTTCTCAACATTGGGAACCTCTTCACACACGTTCGACCATGTACTGGAGCTAACTCGTGCATGGGCTCTCTCTCTCTCATCCTTCTCATCTATGCCTTGAACTCAACAATATCAACATTGGGAACCTCTCCACACACGCTCGACTATCCGTTCATGGACTATATGTACGTTCTTCAAATTCTATCTCCTCACCTCACTCAAGACTATCTATGCAGCCATATTTCGACTTATTCTTGGTCACAGTCAACCCTTATCAAAGTCTACCGTTATGCTCAGATGCGTTCGTGCGTCAGTATTGAAGTCAACGGAGGGATGAGAATGCTCACCACATCTTCGCTATTGCCGAACGTGTATGGGTGGGGAGTACATTCGTATCCCTCTATCTCTGTTTCCGCCGCCTCCCCTTCCAAGTCCTCCCCCTTACGCATCCACACCCGCACCGACTCCCGCTCTCAATCCAACCCGTTAAAACCCTCCCAGACCTCGCCCCAATGCTCCTCAAACTGAACCTAAACCCGACTCTTCTTTCCCTCGGCAAAAAGAGCCGCTAAACAGCTTGCCAGAGGAGAAGACGAAGGTGATGATATTGGGTTCAAATGGTGAGGGTTCGAAAGATGAAAGAGAGGAAGGTCGTACAGTCCTCTCCTCACATCATCCCTCCCATTCGTTGAGAGTTCCTCTCCTCCTCCATCCTACCATTCATCTGATGATTCATTTTCAAATCAAACCGACCCCGCGATGATCCTTTCCGTGGTAAACGTCCTTTCGACCGCTATCAAAGCCAACGCTGCCGTGGTGCTGCAGATGCTTGATAAGCTTCCTGCTCTTGGAGTTGAGCAGAGGGCGATTGTGGAGGCGGTGTTGGAACTAGAAGATTCGGCGGCAACGGGTGTTGCGGGAGGTGATATGATGAATACAAGGGGCACGACGGAGATGGGCAAGTCCACGAAGTTTATGATGAATATGGACGTGGTACGTCTCTCTCTTTCCTCAAAAATTTCATCTTTAATCGCTGACTACTCTATAGGTTCCTCGTCTCTTCCGGCCTCCCAGATGGTAGGAGGAGGAATCACGGCGCCAGGCATCGTTGGGTCTGATGGTGACGACGAACTGCGTTTGCAAGATGCGTTTTCGAGGCCGCAAAGGTCTATACGGTTACAGGAAGTCCGTAGCATTGTTCGTCATTAAATGGAGATAGATGATTCTGTCTGTAATTAATGATCGTCTCAACCTTTCACAATGTTACTCTTTTGCATCATTCCCGCGTGGAATCCAATGACCTGTGTTCAACCAGTCAACTCAGTGTCAGACAGTCTTGTAGGCACGATGCGCGCATGCACATCATCGCGATAAACATGGAATTACTCATCAAGATCTGGACATATAGCTCGTTTATCAGCTCCTAACTAACTACGGCTCCTCGAGATTGAGATCGCGCTCGAGATTGTGCTCGCTCGCGATGTATCTCGCGGGATTCGTACGTAGTCTGGGTACTTGTTAGGATCCAACTAGGTTTTCCGTTGCGCGTCAGTCGGAGCATTCTGTCACTGATTTTCGGGTGTATGACTGCATCTCCATCGAGGTCGACTGGATGCCAGCTCTTCCGTCCATTGTTACCCAACTTCCAAACCCAAACTTGGTAACAACCATCGTTCGCGTTTCGATGTATGTACACCGTCCCTTCCAATGACAGCGCTGGGACTGGCATAGGTTCCTCGAGATCTTCGTCACTCTGAGTTTCATAACACGGAGTGACGCCTTGACTGGTCCGAGAGGTGAACGGCGCAGTCCGTAATCTACCTGGATCAATTTTCCCCCCTATGATAGGAGGCGTGAATACAAGGGGCACGACGGAGATGGGCAAGTCCACGAAGTTTATGATGAATATGGACGTGGTACGTCTCTCTCTTTCCTCAAAAATTTCATCTTTAATCGCTGACTACTCTATAGGTTCCTCGTCTCTTCCGGCCTCCCAGATGGTAGGAGGAGGAATCACGGCGCCAGGCATCGTTGGGTCTGATGGTGACGACGAACTGCGTTTGCAAGATACGTTTTCGAGACCGCAAAGGTCTATACGGTTGGAGATTAGGTTTCAGGGTCCTCAGAGTCCGGATGCGTATGGCGTTCCGGCTTCGCAGATCATTCAGAGTGGACAGGGTAAAGTGAGTTCCTCAAAATCCACCGTCATAACTTATAACTGACATCGGACGGGGTTCTTGTTCTTATTATGAAATGTTAGCTTCAAGCCTCGGGCTCGTCTGCGTCGTTGTCAGTCAGCCAAAAGGCTTAAACTCACCGATATCGAACTACTCGAACTTGCTCGACAACTGACGTTGCTTGAATCCGCGTTATATCAAAAGATCCGCCCTATGGAGTATCTGCAGTGTGCTAGAGAAGGTGTCGGCGGCAAGGACAAAGACGGTGGATCTGGAGGTGGAATCGATAAGGAGTCGGTGAATAATTAACTGAAAGCGTGAAGTTTTCCAATTGTATGAATCCGACAATGACCAGGATTATCCCTTGTACACCGTGTCTTCTGCCTCTATTAAACTTCATGCAAAGTGTATGTTACATTATGTACATGTACTCCAAACAAAAACCTTTGTTGAAGTCTATATCGTTTCTCATTGTAAATTATTGATGCTGATATCAGTGATATCATTGTTGTTGATATACATATCTGGAGATATGTTGACCTCTGAGATGTATCCGATGTCAGGACGTCCCCGATATCGGGTACAAATAATCTAAGCAGGAAAACTTCAAAATTTACTTCCAGCTGATTCCGAAAATCTAGGACGAAATCAGCCTCCTCACATCATTGGAGTACTGTTTAGCATTATTTGTGGATGTAGACCAGATAATGAAGATTAACCCAGAGATGGATGCAAAGAATTGTTGTAATTACATTGTTGGAGTAAACTAGGGCTGCCTCTATGTAAGAAAGACAGAGCTGCTTGCTCAGATTTGTTTCTGAAAGAGGCTAGTAACTATGCGCTTAAGCTCGTCCACAAACAAGGCTAAATAGTGCTCCAACAATGTGAGGAGGCTGATTTCGTCCTAGACTTTCGGAATCAGCTGTCATTTAACCTTGAGTATTTCAGTCATTTTTCCACGGTATTGACTCAAATATGTCTTGATGATTATGTTAAATCACTCCTGCCTAATGTATTCGAGTATATCCTTCATATTCACACTGTAATTATTACAGGAAAAATCAGACAAAATAGGAGGAAGTTTCAAACATTGTCTTGAGTTAAGCTGAATGCTTTATGATCAGAATCTTCCTCATTATCTGTGAGGCAAATTTCAGAACATGTTCCAAATAATCTGAGGTGAGAAATTTGCAGATAAATGACCATATATGTCAAATATCCCTCTCATAATCGCACAATAGGACTTTGAGATTAATTCAAGTATTTTTCCAAACATTCAAGGCATTTAATCTTGTAGTAATCTGGCCTTGATTAATGCAAAAATTGATTGCAGTATATATTGAAATCATGTTTTCGAAATGCTTCCCAGTATTTAATGGTAATATTGACAAAAAATTTTTAATATCCTTTGGATTTAACTAGGAAATTGACAGTCAAATATCTTCATCTAATCTACATGATATCTAGGAGATTTCCACGGCTGAAAAAGATGCCATCCCCCCAGTGAGTGCAAGTGCATGCAGTTACAGTCCAGGTGAATGCATTGAAAAGGTAGGAGCATGCAGATGCATCTGTACATCCTAGATTTTTGTCTAGGAGACCGGCTGCACTTCCTAGCACTGAAGTGGTTTTCAGAAATTGCTTTCTGTGCTTTTTGCTGGACAGTGCTGTCCAGCTAGTACCCTTGCTGTTATGATCACACAGGTTTTGCAGATAATATGAATGTGTGAGTACAGTGAAGTACATGTGACATACATAACTAAGCATATAACATTTACATACATCTATAAACCAAGCAATATATCAACTCAATGTGCATAGATGTATCCTGAAATAGTTGCACATACGGCAAATATGAAGTCAAAATAGCATAACATGATTAGACAAAATACATATAAATGTCGGCATTTATATGCCATAAGTGTGATGCAGGTGCATGTAGATACACTGCATTCCACTGCAAATGCTAGTGGCCCCTTAGTTATGTCAATTGAAGTAACTTTCTAAAGTAAATAATCTTTTCTTGTTGCTGCGGTTTCCATAAGTCAACTCCACTATAGTTGGAGAGGAACCTGCATTGGACAGCCAATATAAGAAGCCCTGCCATGGCTTGCCGTCATACAGCATACGAGGGAGGCATGAGCCGATAAAGCCTGTGATAGGGTCAATGAAACGCCGGACTGTGAATAAGAAAGTTCACACTTGAGTTTTAACCAATGGGGTGTGTGCCAATATGCCGGCCATGATAGGTTTAGATGCCTCTTAATGGGCCAGAAGCAAAAACTATACGTGTACCAGATCATGAGCCATGTGTACCAGAGTAAGAGTGAATGGTGCGGTCAATTTGTTGCTCCTAAGTTGCCTAAGTTGACTAAGTTGACTAAGCTACCTATGTTGCCTAACCTACCGACGTTACCTGAATTGACCAAGGATCAAGGTGATATTAAATCACAACAGGCCTCGGGACTTCGCAAGCCAAATACTAAGATGTAATGATCTGGAGAAGTACTCTATATCATCTCTGAAATACCAGTCCATGTAAGAACCTATGTCATGCCACACTCCACCTGGTACAGCAAATGCACCTGCAGCCTGTATTCGAAGTTCAGGAGTATACCATATTAGAGCAGCTATTGGCCATGCCAAATTGGGGTGTGTACAAGTGATTGTACCCCTGATAAATTCTGGATGAAGTTCATTGTGACTGCCGGAAGGTAGCAGACAATGATAGCAGACATGATTCTCCATTTTCTTCAGGTCCACGGAACGTCGAATGGATGCCAGTTGAGCATGCTGACTTGTCTGGAATGCTGGACAGTCCTTCATGATATGGGTAGTGTTGCCTTGGATATTCTTCAATAGACAGACCCCACAATGAGTACCAATTAAGTCCAAAAGTCGGTGTGCATCCAAATATCGGTCTTTTTGCATTACCATTGATTCTGTAGTCCTCTTCCTGGCGGCAGAATGAACCTCCCCAAAAGCTTCTTCCAATGCCCGTTTGGTACTTTGTTGTTTCAAAATGGTAGGAATAGGAAAGGCACTGGAAGAAGCTCTTACTGGGGTAAGGCACAACTGAGGACAGGTGGCAGTTATTGGATCTTCATATGCAATAGCAAAATCTTCCCCTATTTGATATTCCACTGAGCTATCTTGATTGAGAGTTTCTAATTGACACTTACAATCATCAGGGCCGAAGAGGGGTTGGAGTGCATTGGGGTCATAATCTACTCAACAAATCAATAGATATCTAGCACCTGAGCAGGTGAATACTGACCTGGGAGACAGCCGGTACAAGGATCTAGAGTTGCATCTATTGCCGCACAAGTTTGACCTCTGCCGTTGAGAAACTTTGTTATTCGATATCTCAAGCAGCGCATAGGAAAATTTTCTGCAGAGATGTCAAAATACGCCAAATCCAAAAGCTCTTCTCGTCCACACAATGCAAGAATGTCTTTGTCCCCTCGGTCCGAAACCGGCTTTTTCGGCCACGGGATTAATATACAGACACCTACGCCGCCTTCACCTCGCACAAGACGATGAGTTTGCTGATAGTATGTTATTAGCTCCGGAGGAACGCCTATGTTGAAAGCCATGACTATCCCGTGGCAGTCTAGACCAGCTGAGAGGGCAGTGGTAGATACAAGAGTACTATTATCACCAGTAATCCACCGATCTAACATGGTTCGACGCTCCTGATCAGTGATGGGATAGGTTTGGGATGCGGAGTGGTAGAAGTCACAGCCCAAACATTTTGCCAGTGCTTCCCCTTGTTTAGTGCTATAAACATAAACAATGTACCGGTCGTCCGTATTATGAAACCCGGCTTGTTTCCAGGATTGAATATAACTAGTGACTGTTTCAGCAATGATGGAATCGTTACCCAGGGGTTTGTGCCGAATGAAAATGACATTGTCCTTCACAGCTGGTGTGCGGAAAACCTTGAACCCCGGACGGAGCTCAAATGACTTTGAGAGAGTATTCAGCAGTGGTACTGGAACAGATGCACTCATCAATACTAGTTGAACAGGCCCCGCATTACGAAGCTGATAAGGATTGGCAAATGCTTTCCGACGAAAGCTTGCTTCAGTGGCATGATTGTGAACTTCTTCCACAACGATACGGTAAACAGGCCTAGACAGCATATTCAAGCAAGCCTCCCAGTGTTTGCCTCTAGCAGTATCGGCTGATGCCAGAATGATGTTGGCATGGCCCGAGAGTGTTTTGGTTTGAGCACCAGCGTAATGCTCGAAGGCAATATTGAGGGTTCTGAGGCGTCGCTGCCAATCTTGAAGTAATGAAACGAGTGGTGTAACAACAATCGTATGACCATTTTCCACCAAGCTTGCAAGCAAAATGACTGCAGTTTTGCCTACCCCGCATCCCAGCGCAATCACTACATCGGTTCTGAGAGCCAATAATGCTTCTACTGCGTCACGTTGTTCTTGACATCGCCACTGGATTGAAGGACCATACATTCCTTTCAGAAGACATATCATGTCGTAAGTAAATTCTGTGTCTTTGCCATAAGGAAGGCCATCCAGGATTTTTCTCAATTGGACTACCAAGATTCAGCTTTGTAATAGATGGAAATCATAGGATATGACTTACCTTCGCTCATATGAATGGGACTCTCCGGCTGGATCTTCTGTGATAGTAACGGTAATGAATAATTCGAAAATTCCGGTCGGATAAACCCTCACTTGTAGTGAAGTAACAGTATGCGCAGAAACAGACTTCGTTATCTTGGGATCAACACTGCTATTGACCTCAAAGTGCCACCTTCAATTGAAGCGCTACCAGAATAGTTTTAATACCTACCATTGACAGTCCCGATGCAATATCTTCGAGAGCATTAGTTAAGAGTGTCACAAGCCATTTCTATTGGGCTTACCAGACAGAGTAGGGCTTGGATGGACTGTGGAATCAGATGGGAAGACCTGGAATATGTTAGGCTAATCAGTGAACTCTAAGGGGACAAACTTTTACTTCGTTTGTTCCTTGAAAAGGTACAGCTTCAATGAATATTGATCCGGAGCTTTCACCAACCTAGAAAACATCTTCAGCTCCGACAAACAGATTTAAATGAGTAACGTTCACCTTTAACATGGATGACTCTAATGCAGGATCTTGGACTGCATTGTTGATCTGCAACAAGAGGTATGAAGGAAAGGTTATCATTTGAGATATGAGCCAAAGTCGTGATTGTATTTACACTGTGAGATAAGCTTTGACTGGTGACTGTATTATTAGAAACCAAGCTGCCAAGCAAAGGTAGAGCCACAGATAAGAGAGTGTGTAATTCCTTGTTTTGTTTTTGAGTATCAGCATTGCTGCGCTGGAGAGAAGTAATAGTAGCTTTTAAATTCTCAATCTCCTGCATATGTGCTTCATCTCGTGATTGTTGCTGTCGAGTAAATTCGAGTAATGTATCATGAATCTGCCAATCATGGCTCTTTTCACTAGTCTCTGATAGTGAAAGCATCGGACCAGGAAAAAGCTTGGTCCTCAGGAATCCTGTGTCATAAAGATGTTTGTAATTCCTTGTGGACGTTTGGGAATAGGGAAGATGGATTCCGCCGGGAACAATGTGAAACAGGCGTTGCCACTCTGTGCTAACCATCAAATATGCAAAAATGACATCTTCTGGGTACCCGAGGAAGCTGAAGGGAGTCGTCCCGTAGTGTTGTTTATTTACATCGATGCTATGGCCATTCTGCTGCATGTGTAACTCGAATGTCTCATCATCATTCAGAAGTGCCATTGTTTTGTTGCATCGTTTTCGTTTGAAGGCAACGGTAACATCACGCCATGCACTAATTTTGAGTCCCCAACCTAAAATAGGCAGACTGCTATTTGCCATCGTAGTGGAGAGACTCTCGGAGGAAAATTCTTTTCCAGCATCCATGAAGGCCATTTCACCATAGAGAACAGCAACACCGGGGTCATTTGGGTACAACTTGCTGGCGAGGTACTGTGCATTGTATATCAATAACCAACTGTAGTCCCAACATATTACTCCTACCTGTGCGATAGGCCGGGCTAGCACATGAACTTGGATGAATATGTCTGCACAGAAAGCATCCATTGCATGAGGGATGACTTTATCTGCCTGCATTATGTTGGTGGTTTTTGAATATTCACGAACCATCGCAACAAACTTCCCCAGTCCTCGCATGTTGCGGACCCGAAATGGCGTGTTTCGAATGAGGACTGAGGTGATTTCTGTGCCACGAGCTGGTGCTCCTCCCATCATATCCACGGCAAGTATTAAGTGCTTTTCTAGGTCTGCCAAGTCCGCTAACCAAACTCGCCATCGGAGTGAATTGAACTCCCACTTTTGCGATCCTCCAGGTACGTGGAAAAATTGCTTTCGCAACTGAGGATCAGCAAAGAAGAGTCGAAGTAAGTCATGAAAGTGATCAGAGAAGCGATTTTCGACATCGTCAAGGAATGAGTAGCCGGGTTCGCAGTTTGTGAGGTTGTCTGCGAGTGAACCATACGTCACCCTATGAGAAAGGCCTCCCAGGATCTTGTCCTCCCAGAGTCTGATTATCTTGTCCTGAAGCCTTTCAAACAGAGTATGGATGTGGGTTTCTGTGATGCTTCTGCCTTTGTAGCGCAGGCTAGTGTAACACTCCTGATCATCCCACCAGATCTTGGGGGGCGAAATAGTACTATAAGCAATCGCACTCGCATAGTGGGTTATTGCACGTAGGGAGCTGAACGTTGTTTGCTCTTTTTCTATAATCCATTGCTGCAGATCTTTCATAGCATCTAGCTGTGTTTGATAATCACCATCAGCTACAGCCAAGTGTACTTGTCGAAGTACCACTAATCGGATGGCCCAAGACAGTTTGGCGATCGGCTGCGGTACGTCTTTTGGATCAGAGAACTCGCCTTCCGGCCTGATATGAATGAGTGCCATAAAACACATGGTAGGATCAGGAAAGCCATTGGGCTTGTCCACTGGATCATACCATCTGCATAACCATAGTGCCTTGAGAACATGGTGGAGTGCGGATAATTTTGGGTCCATTACAAGCTGTTCTAATGCAGTCTTCAGTGCAACAGATTGAGGATATTGATAATTCTGTGACTTGCGCAACAAACTGATTATCAGCTTCTGCACAAGTGCAATGTATTGCTGTAAAGTGACTGTCTCCTGATGATGAGCTTGAAGAGGTTTATTATTGATTCTTGAGCATATATTTAGCCGAATATTCACTTCAGAGCAGTGCCAACTTACTTTCCTGGCTCTGGGGAGTTCAACAGCTCCAATACTGAGACATGAGTTTTTTGGAGACTGAGAAGGCCACTGCAATCGACGAAATATTCATGAATAGTGCGTTGTACCAGGGGGTACTCCCCAGGATCTGAAGCCCTGACTAAGGTCCGCAATTCCGTTGTTTCAAAATCAGCGACGTGGATATGCCACTGAGTGCGTATTAGAAATGGGTGTATTTTGCGAGCATTTGGTATGGGCAGACCAGCCCTGGATCTTTGCCAGCTGAAGGATTGAAACTCATCATTGAGTTTTTCAAAACCGTCTTCTGTGTCAAGACAAGGTTCTGCTGTAGTGAGCACAGTTTTTCGAGGATTCACACGGAGCAATGCCCTGTTAGTACCCTTGTTGAGGGATTGAATACAGACATTCAACCATTTCTTGTTGGTGTTGTCATGTTTCTGTTTCAGATGCTTGACTATCATGTCTTTGGTTGAGCAGTTATAGAAGCATTCAGGACATCCAAATTGATCAACAACTAGTCTCAACCCTGAAAATGCCTGTGAGTTGTCAGGAACATGCTATTATCAAAATCAAATCCAGACCTGAAAATTCCTCATAGATTTGATTGGCCAGCAGGTTTGGCCAAAAATCTAGAATTTTATTTGCAGATGCAAGCTCTCTGATTCGAGCATTGTCAGCAGGGGAAACTTTCACATTGTGTTTTTTGCCTAGGTGCTGAATGAGTGATGTCACAGTTAATGCACTTTGACACTCTATGCAAAGAAACATTTTCAATCTTGTATTGACTTGAAGTCCGAATGAGACCAAAAACGGATTTGACTGTAGGTCATCATAATCTTTCACGCCCAGAAGTTTCTGACACCGTTGATTAGGTGGTCATATTTGCAGGCATCCAAAAATGGTCAATACCTGAGAATGATCATCCTAATGCAATTTTCCTGATTTATTGTAGATTTGCATACAATGGAAAGGATCTCACTGGTTCTGGTTCATTGAGGTGGGACATCACTTGATCAAGGTATGATGCTTGCTCCTTGGCATATAAAAGTGACAATGAGCGGAGTGGAAGAGCGTAGTAAAAAAAGAATAATTTACTGCAGCTTTATACGGTGGAAGGCTATGTGATGCTAAGTTGTCGCAAATCAGGGAGTCCAGATCTTTGATGTACTGTAGGGTCAGTGGTTATTCTGCCGCCCGCTCGCACTGCATATTAGAAATTGTCCTTGACTTGCGTGTAATAGAGTTCTAGAAATCCCCGATGCACAATTAGGAGAACTGGTGGGCTATCATATGCACCTGAGGATTCTGAATAATCTATTTTGCAACACTTAATGCGGGGATGAGCCGATTTCCTCGAGGCAAAAATGTGGGTTTTATCTCGAGGTTATGGACATGAATATGGCAGCAGATATCTTGAAGGAATTGAGCTGAGGTTATGGTGAAATTAGGAAATAAGCACGGCCCCCGCCAAATTCACGATAGCTTCTAATCACCACACGAAAGTCCTAAAATTCGTGCTCAGGATTTTCGACAGATTTTGGAAGTAATGTTTCCATTTTCTCTACATTTTCACCGCGAGGACATTGGCACATTCCCACGGTGACTGACTGTAAACTACAAGTAAACCGTCCAGAGTCAAGGATCACTAAACCAAGCGACTTTCCCACACCAGCTGTTCTTATTAACAGTCTGAGAGGTGTTCGTTTTTTTGAGTTTCGGAGTCATCAGCAAGATGTTTAGTGCTTACATGTGGAGAAGACAGTTTCCATAACCTCCTCGGAAACCAGCGAACCGGAAACCCCGAATGGCGTTGCTTATTGAGCTCCATCTGAATCAATTGTGGTCCTTGTAGGGAATACATTGAGGCGAAACCTGTGCATAGACAGTTGGTACACGTATCTTGCATTACTACTCTACAAATGTTAATTAAAGGTACAATCTGTGTATAGACACGGCTATCTTTCGGATCCATTCTCAAGTAAGGGAGAATTTGACAGGCAATAAACAAATACTTCTGATATGTAGATCACATTTCATATATATGCAGCCTGGAATTGAATCCTGTCAAAGAGCTTGCATGCTGAGAAAACCTTAGATAATTGTGGGATGAACTATACTGGCTTGCAAGTAACCCATATCACCGATAGTTGGCTTCCCTGCTGCATCTACAGTGATTTTGGGTATTTTCAACTATTGTACTCATGGATTTTTCGGCATATTCGGAATAATGAATTACATGTAGACATAAAGATCAATCAGATGAAGTGAACTTCAAGAACCGTTCTATGCGGGTTATGAGAAGACCATTTTTACCGCGCCATGGCTGTGAACCTTTATACAGAGCATCAGATTCATGCATGCCCTTTGATATTTTTTATCTTTCAAGGTAATGGCCGGGAGGGCCATTGCAATGCTTCCTCATTCAGAATTCGTGCCATTGCGTTTTACAATCAACAAGGTCTGATATTTGTGTCTGTGTTTGTCTATGATAGTATGAGGATTTGAGGATTGAAAAACACATTGCTCAGTAGTAAGCAAGAGGGTTGAGGCATGCCAGGGCGTGCCGCTGAATTAGAATCACAGTGGAAAGGTCGGTGGTAAATAGGGAGTTATTATCAATCTGAGCTGGGACGAGTATTCAAATAATCAAAGACAAAATTGAAGCTTGACCCTCCCGCCCACGAGACACTGAAGAGTACTATGTGAACATCATCACTCTATCAAACAACGAGATTTCAGTCCTCATGGACAGGTATACTCCTTTCACTCAAGTGATATAATCAAGTGGCCCGAGATTAACAGGAGGCAATGCCTTCCTAAGTCTCCCTCGTTCATTGTTCAATCACTGTTATCACATATCATTGTGTAGGGAATTAATGAAGATCTCACAGTTGCAGTACAATGCAATGCAATGCTAGGGACACCTGAACTCACTAACAACCAGTGACACACACAGTCTAGAATGTCTCTGAATAGTACACAGGTACTCACATAACGGATCAATGAATGATTAGAAAGAAGGCTGAAGGCTGATATTTTCAAATCGGAGCAAAATGACAAACCAGTAACAATAAACAAGCAGTCACTGAATTCATTTGGATCAAAGTCAAACTTCCACTGGCAGAAGTGCTGGGAAAATCGTTATACGATTGCGAGCCGCGAAGGACTTTGAATCAAATGGATATGAGGTAGTGAGATATATCAAGAATCAGTTTGGAGAATTTCATCATGATGCATAGGTTTCTTATTTGCGAGTGGCTTTTCCCGAGGTCTCCGACAATGAGGCAAGTCGGTAGTACAGTCATAACTGCCGTCAGATGCTATGATTTATCGATTAATATTCTGAGCTTCGAGACTCGGGAAAGGAATGAATCATGAGACGGAACATATTTAAGTCTTGCTTCAACTTTGATTTTTCTCTTTATTCTCAATATTCATAGGTGGCCCAAGATGTCCAACCATTCTTATGTATGCTACTTTTTGTTTTGGTGTTTCATAAATTGAACTTGATGTTGCAGGCTTCAGAAGACATCGAGCAAGTATGTGTTGTTCTCAAGCTACAATTAATGATCCTAAAAGATGGTGTTTCTATAATAAGACTCGAAAACGGAAGGAAATTGATCTCGATGGCACTGAAGTACCTCAACAGGAAGTCAAGGTTTCTGTTTTTGTGTTTAAAGTAGAATTTCATTTAGATCGTACTGATTGGAAATACAGGCGGCAAGAAGAGAGCTCAAACGAGAGGAAAAAATAGAGAAAAAAGCTCTCAAGCTAAAGGTCACAGTGAGTGCGGACAACAGGTTCAAAATATGTGTAATTCACAGCCTCAACAGTTTGCGGCGGAAAGTTCTGTCAACCATTCAATCGATGATACACCCTACGTTCTAGGGTACGGATTCATGAATGTTGTTGGTCTAGGACCCAATATTACTCCGTACAAGCATTTAAGAGGAGTGAAGAACCGAGGTGTATCAAGGATAGTCAAATTAGCGGGACCAAATATGGCTGGGCTACAGAAATCCGCTGTAGAACACTGCTTGATTGTAGGTGTACGCAGGGCTGAGGTCGATGTCTCTACCTTGGCTACAGACATCACTAAGCCATTCCAGGCTGTAAAAGCTGGCGGCGGTGGTGTAAAATTTCCTGTCATACTCTTCAATGGACAGCACAGATTGTCTGCAGTCTCCATGGTTCTCAAACCAGCACTCAAAGCATTGCATGAAATTGGACAGCAGCTGAAAAGAAGTCCAGACAACAGGGATTTACAAGAACAAGAACAAAAGGCTCATCAGTACTGTTATAATCATGGATCATGGTTGGTGAAAGTCTATGATTTAGGTAATCTCATTTCTTTGTCCTTTGTTCTTGAGTTAAACTGTTACCACAGACACTTTGCATGGATCACCCAATTATACCAATGTTATCACTAAAATAACATCAAACAATATGATGAAGGCACTTTCAAATGACCCAAAACATCACCTCTCGACCAATATCCACAACCTCATAAATTCACAATCAGAGGAAGCTAGAAAACTGTTGATACATCAAATAATTCAAGAGGAAAAAACCGGTGGCAATGAGGATATCCAGTCTCTGCTTTCGAAGCATCCTCCTCTCGTGGAATTCCTCATGAGAATGCATGAGATGGAAGTATATGAGGATTTTTTTTCTCCAAAGAAACTTGTTGAATGTAGGAGAGTAGTCTGGGGGGTGCGTAATTTTTCTGAGAGTTTGGTGCATTTATTTTTCTCATTCATACAAAATATGCAGTTTCTGAAACCTATTCTCGATGGAAATTGGTTGCAGCTCTTATACCTTTGCAGTCTGGTTCAGCTCCCAGGGCAGTTTAATAACTCTGTCAGCACCTCAGAAGAGCTTCATCAACATGCCATCACAACATTTCTACAAGAAACTCCTTCTTTCTCAGCTGATGTTGCCTCATGGATAACCAAACTATCAGAGGATTGCTTTTTGAAGTATCTAGCGCCCATTTCCAGTCATTGGGGCTTGAATACAGAAGAATATCGAACAGGCCATAATCTCTACTGGAAGGGTCTCATTGAAGGAGTGGAGACCAGGGAGTTAGATACATTATCATCCTCTGAAACTTGGACAGAGGAACAGCACTCTATTCTCAGAGAACTTCCCAAGAAAATGATGCTCATCAGATCTGTGCGGCCTTTCCATGGTAGTTTAGGAATTCCCCCAGGACTGGAAGAGACAGTGATTCTTTGTCCATCATATTGTCAAGCAATGATGGATATCTTCTCTAACATGTCTCAGGACTTGGAATTGGTATGTGGTTGTTAATCAAAAGGTGTGCTTCAATGACATTTGTCTGCTTTTTTCCAGTGGATTTCCTATATGGTCCCAGCTACTCAATTTTATGCTAAGCAGAGACAAGGCAAAAAACAAAAACAACAGGATGTGGACATCCTTGGAAATCATCCTTCAACCTCAGAAGTGCTCAAAGATTATTTGATCTACTGGACATTTTCCAAGCATGCAGAATGGCGAAATTTGTCTGGGAAAGAGTTCATGAAGCTTGTGCCTGGTGCTACGAAGGAATTAGGCTCGATTTGGAATGAAGTTAGTGGTTACCTAACTCCTGACCTTGATTACTGACCCAAAATGTATATTCAGATCATCACCAGGATTGTTCAGCATAGACTTCATGCCTTCCGGTATACAGAGGGCACATGTATTCCACAGTTGGAGAAGACATATATGACTCATCCCTCGGTGAAGAATCAAATCAAAACAGTATTGGCTTCCCAAGAGCTCTTGAAGTGTATTCAGGATTGGATTAGCTATAATGCTGTGCTGGAGGCAAAGCGAGTTCAACCTGCCCAATTGCTTAGGTCTCAATGGAGACTTAGAATCCATCAAAAGATCCCATCACCAATCACGGTCCCTGAAGACAATTTTCTGAAATCAGTACTCAAAGGCCTGAGTAAAACTCACATTAATTGGCAGGCCAGTTCTCAAGCTGATTCTCTTGCACATATGAAAAGAGTACTCAGAGAATTGGTCATCGAACTGTGCTTATGGGAAGGATATAGAGATCAGTTTCTAGAGGCTCAGGAAGGATTTAAATGTCTCCTCATGGAAGTGGTTCAACTAATCCAGGGTTCTCCTAACTGGAGAGCTTGGAAGCCTTGGTTGAACCTGACCTTTGGAAAGGATGATGATGATGTTGCACTCCAGTGCTACAAGGAACTCTTCAAGGATGATCAAGCAGGGACTTTGCTATCTGTGACACATAGTCAGCTACATCAAAAGCAGAAAGAAAAGTTGTTCAAGCTCTTCAAAAATTTACACAATGGGTTGAAAGAGGCAGGACTTGATGTCAAATTGGGGAATACCAGTAAAGGCCTACATCCTGCTATCAGTTCTCCCCTAGAGGAGCTTATACAAACATGTATAAAGGCTCAAGAGGACTTGAATCACGCAGTTGAACAGGAACCTTCCATCCCTCTTATTGCCCCCGAGGACATTTCAATGCCTGCAGAAAACTCACTTCAGCTCCATTATGCAAATGAAGACAATCTGTTGGAACTATACTCACAGAGCAACGGCATTGAAGAGGATCAAGGCATTTTTCACTCAAAACATAATGCGAAAGGCAAGAAGAAGGTGAAGCAAACTGAGGAAATGAATTTTGAAGAGGAAGAGCAGGAAAACAGAGAAGAGCAAGAGCAGGAAGAGGAAGAGGAAGAGGAAGAGGAAGAGGAAGAGGAAGAACAGGAAGAGTAAAAGGGATAAGAACACAAATGTGAAGGGGTACAAGAGGAAAAAGTCTAATTTCTGTGAAGACTGGAATATGCTACTGTTGAAATTACTACGATAAACAATTTGATGGTTCATTTTCTCTGAATTATCAAATTATTCTCCGATTCAGGGTACAGATTTGGAGACTAGATTTGACGAACACTTTCGAAGATTATCCATTCGTATATCGGACGGTAATTCGCACTGGGCGCAGAGCCAATATCTTCAATACCGCTATGCCTATTCTAATTGAATGTGAGCAGCTATCTCTGCTTCCTCCTCATTCAAATTCTTATCCTAGCTGTGACAGTGCGACAGTATCCGGGGACAGACACGTTCGCGTATTCGATGACGGCGAAGACTATGAAACTTCTGCTCTTGGACAAGAAATTGGGCAGGAGTATTGTCTAAGTACTTTGAGAAGTCACGAAGACCGAGTCAAGCGAATAGCTACGGAAGAGAGTCCTGACCGATTCCTTACGGTCTCGGAGGTAAGTGCACATCCTCTGTTCCCCTCAACGTAATAGAATTTCTTTGAATATGTACATAAAGACCAGTATTTTTAGACATCAAAACAACATGTTAAAGGGGCTACAATTATGTTGAATTTCCTGCAAACCTTCCCTCGCAATGTCAATATTGCTCGTTCAGGGCATTGATGTTCTTCCTTCAAATGTCCCGTTCCCTCCTCAAAGTTTCATTCTCACTCCACCTCATATCACTTTCCCCTCTTAAATGATCATTTTCTTTTCGCAATGTATCTCTCTCCCTCCGCAGATTGTGATTTTCTTCGTTCAATTCCTCTATATGAGCTTGTCCAGTACCAAGTGCTTCAATCTGATCAAGGAGTGACCTGTTCAAAGCATTGGCAACTGAGAGTTTCCCGCGTAAAGCTGCTAGTTCTTGGAAGATCGAAATTTTTTGCACTTCATCTGGTGTGTTATTTTGGTGTTTTCCAAGTTGCACATCTGCTTTCCGAGTCTGGTTCCACAGAATAAAATCAGAATAATAAGCGACAACCCCGAAAACGCAGACCTTGAATAGAAGGAGTAACATACTGGGTTTGGGGGGGTTTCCCACGAGGGCTTTTCCCTGTTTGGCAAGGCGTTTTTGGGGGTGTTCTCTTCGTGGCTTTGTGATCTCTGTCCTCTCTTCGGCATCGAGGACTGGTGAGAGGTGTTATCTGCATTGTTCACCCTACCAGGTGGAAGCGACGCCAGAAACAGATCAAACTCCTCCAATCGTGCTATCGTGCCGGGAGACATACGTAATGTATGTTCTTGTTCATCACACAGTGGCGGGTGAGATAGCACTGTAGGAGAAAGTTGGACAGATTGTGCTGAGTGTTTAGGTCCCGAAGCTCTACCAGCAACAGGACCCACAGAGGATGGTTCTGAGCTCGAGGTGCAGGCTGGCTTGTTCATGGCAGAAGACAAGAAAGTAATATGAGAATGGGAGGTTGGTGAAGATGATTGGACTTGGCTTTGACTAGCATTAGATTTAAAATCATTGTTTGACCCTGTAGAATAAGGATTTTCATCAGTATGAAGGATTGAAGGGGGGGGAGGAATTTTACTTGATTTGTTCTTTTTCAACAATGTTTGTGAAGCTCTAGAGGCACCAGCAGCAACATCTTGACTGATTTGATTGGCAGTGTGGGCCCTCAATGGCAGACCAGATATTATAGGTGCTGCCGGGTTTGCCAATCCAAGATGCAAAGGTTTTCTTTGATTCACTGTCAGTGATCTCTTCTCCTTCAGCAAAGGCCTAGAACTAGGGCTAGGACTGGTAGAGGACCTAGCAAGGATACTAATAGCAGTAGTGATGGTGGTAGCAGCAGGTTGGACCAACTGTCTGGGTATGGTTCCTTTTGATAGATGTAAATCAGGCAGAGGATGATTTCTGGTGACACATTTACCATCATTATGCTTTTTTGCTAAATTGACCCGTTGTTGCAAGGTATCATCCTTCTCTCGCTTTTGTTCTTCCTTGTCACTGTCCACTTCATTTTCACTCTTATCCATATCGCCTTCGGAACGCTGTCTCTGGGCTCTAGCACCAATGACGGGTTTTTTTGACGGGGGATGCTGTTTTCCCTTTGGCATGTTCAGTCCGCGGATTTTTTGATTCATGTTTGGATTGATTATATTAGGGGCAGAATGATTGCAGTTTTCTGTGTCGCTGTCTGTGCTCGAATCTGAAGGGTTGGTCAGACCTCGGAACGTTAGTGGCATGGGCCTTTGACCAATAGTCAGGCTCTTCTCAAGAATTTCGTCTGTATCAGGCAAATCAGGATGATTGCACTCAAATTGTGAAGCAAAAGATTGTAAAGTACTCACTATGAACAGTTTCCATTTTGATCAATTTGTCTTCATTGTTCTTTTTTGCAAAGGCAATTGCCATATTCCTGCTCTTGATATCAGATCTAGGGCCGGGGTTGCCAGTGGGAGGCGTGATTTCATCATCCTCTTCGGTTTCACACTCAAAGGATTGATTATTGTTTTCCGCTCCTTTTCCCTTTGCGATCCCCATTGTATTTCCTTCTCCTGGCTTTCCATTTTCTTTCGCCAAGGCCGCAACTCTGCCACGAACATGTTCCTTGCTTCGAGCTCCACTTATCGTTGATTCAACCCCCCCCTGATCTGTCCACTCTGTTTCCTCTGTGTTGTCCTTATCCTCAGATTCTGCCTCCTCCTCTCGATGATTTGTCCTTGACCTCTTTAATATCACTGTCCCCTGCTTCCGCTTCTTTTGCTGCATAGGCAGCACCATAGACACCGACTCAGCACCGGAAATCAGCTTCGGAGATTGTTTACGTCTTTTCGACTGCTGCTGCTTCGACAGAGGTACCTCTGAAGCAAGTGGGTCACCATATTCATGAAGGTATTTGTTCTGGGATGTGTTCCGTTCTATGAATTTCCTTTTGCCTGATTCTAATGTGAATATTAAGCAAAGAATCATCAGGTCAATGTGAATATGGAAACAAAAGCCATATCGCTACCCGTTGGCGTTCTGATTGTATGACCGGCTCTCCATGTCTCCACCAAATCGGGCGTCACATTATGCTTCTGTACCCAACTATCCTCCCATGGCTCCCCAGTGACAGGATCCATCCCAGCCCATTTTACTCTGAAGTGCTTCTTCCTCTCCCCAACAATGGCTACAGCATCCCATAGATTTATATCGTCGTCTGAAAGTTTCGCAAATTGTGGCATTACTGCATGGAATATGGAGGGTAATGGTAAACACATGAACCACGAAACTATTGTGGGATATCTCACCGTTGGTTATGCCAGTGGAAGCATGGGACAACAAAAGAGATTTGCTAACGTGAAAGCTTAAGAAGTGTAGAGCAACAGTGCCTTTCGGGGTCTTCGTGGACACTGGTATTTCTGTAGTCATGATTTCTCAATATAAGAAAAAAAGTTGACCCAGTCTCAAACAGGAGAGTCGTTGTAAGCATTCAATTGAATAAACCTAGGCGATGTCGGCTCGGGATTTCCGGTGAAAATTGCTGCAGGGCACTGTTGCAGGACTGTAATAATAAAGATCGGCAGATTGATGATTTTACCTTCCTGTGAACTCAGGAAGGAAAGAAAGAAGTTAAGTCAAAGAGCTTGGGCCCCGCTCTGAACACCGAACTATCCGGGGATGCTTGTTGCACCTTACCGGCGCCCCCGGGACCTGAGCAAACATGATATAATCATATCGAGGCTTTCTGGGAAGAGTTGCAGTGTAGATAGAGCTGTATCGTCATGGATCATCAAGAATTGATATGGAACGACTTTCACTTCACCTTAATGAAAATCAAAGCTCGTGCAGTATTCTGTTTTTTGAAAACTTTTCATTGACTGCAAGGAAGTAAGACTAGCCTATTTGTAATACCTGGATTTTCTGTCAGTCATCTGCAAAACCTGTTTTTTCGCCTAATTCTCCGAGAGCTGTAGTCGTAGCATTATCATCAACGGATTGTGTTTGTCTTCGAGTCTTCAATGTATGCATGCATTAGTCCCTTCTTTACCGCATTACTTGCGCTCATCTTTCTTGCCTTTCATGTCTTCAGAGGTTTTGACTGCTTTTTGGTCTCATCTAAGCATACTTTTTGGTTAAAATTTGAAATTTTCACTATACTAGCACTACTCAATTGCATCCATTCCCAGCATTGCTTCTAAGAGTGTCTAATGATTGAATGAGGTCCATAAGCCTCCTTCAAATATTTCAATTCATCTTCGGAAAGCTTAATATCGACAGCAGCTGAAAGTAGGATATAAGCCTGTAGGAATCTAAACCAAAAATATCAAGACTACTTACCCAGCAATTCGTCAAGATTTTCCAGGGAAGTGGTTCCAATGATGGGCGCACTTCATGTAGTGAGTTTTAATTCTTTGAATACACTATTCGGCACCAGGAAGGATCTCATCTTGCTATTTGGGCCATTAGCATTTGCCGTAACCTTGCATAGAATGCATGCATCTCATGCATTGCATGAGGGATGACTTTATCTTCCTGCAATATCTTGGTGGTTTTTGAATATTCACGAACCATCGTAACAAACTTCCTCAGTCCTCGCATGTTGTGGACCCGGGATGGCGTGTTTTGAACGAGGACTCAGAAGGTGATTTCCGTGCCGAGCTGGTACTCTTCCCATCATATCCACGGCAAGTATTAAATGCTTGTCTAGGTCTACCAAGTCCGCTGGCCACACCCGCCATTAGAGTGGATTGAACTCCCACTTTTGCGATCCTCTAGGTACATGAAAAAATTTCTTTCGCAACTAGGAATCAGGGTGCATCATCGATTGAATGGTTGACAGAACTTTCCGCCGCAAACTGTTGACGCTGTGAACTACATATATTTTGAAGCTGTTGCCCGCACTTAATGTGACTTACTTTAACGCAACCAGAAACCTTGACATCCTTTTAAGATACTTCAGTGCCAGCCATCGAGATTAATTTCCTTCCGTTTTCGAGTCATATTATGGAAATACCATCTTTCAAAATCATTAGTTGTAGCTGGAAAACAACACATACTTGCTCGATGTCTTCTGAAGCCTGCAACATCAAGTTCAATTTATGAAACACTAGAACAGAAAGGAGCATACATAGGAATGGACATCTTAAGCCACCTATGAATATTCAGAATAAAGAAAAGTTAAAGTTAAAGCAAGACTTAAATATGTTCCGTCTCATGATTCATTCCTTTCCCGAGTCTCGAAGCTCAGAATATTAATCGATAAATCATAGCATCTGACGGCAGTTATGACTGTACTACCGACTTGCCTCATTGTCGGAGACCTCGGGAAAAGCCACTCGCAAATAAGAAACCTATGCATCATGATGAAATTCTCCAAACTGATTCTTGATATATCTCACTACCTCCTATCCGTTTGGATTCAAAGTCCTTCGCGGCTCGCAATCGTATAGCAATACTCCCAGCACTTCTGGAAGTTAGACTTTGATCCAAATGAATTCAGTGGCTTGTTTATTGTTACTGGTTTTGCCATTTTGCCCCGATGTGGAAATATCAGCCTTTACCCTTCTTTCTAATCATTCATTGATCCGATATGAGAGTACTTGTGTACCATTCAGAGACATTTTAGACCGTGTATGCCGCTGGTTGTTAGTGAGTTCAGGTCCCCAGCATTGCGTTGGATTGTACTGCAACTGTAAGATTTTGTTTAATTCCCTCACAATATGTGATTACAGTGATTCAACAATGAAACGAGGGAGACTTATTGTACTCTGGGAAGGCATTACCTCGTGTTGATCTCGGGCCACTTGATTAAATCACTGGAGTACACTAATTTGGTTCAATTCAATTCACAGTCTGTATATCAGGTGTGAAATATACCTCGCAAGGCTTCCATAGTAGTCTGTTCTCCAATCTACAAATCTTGTATATCCACTGTCACAATAATTATCATAGGCCGCCTATCTCAACGCGTTATCCATAGTGAGTATATCCTATGTACCTAGGATTATAATCTCACTGTCTCTGCAGTACCTGAAGACATAGTCAGAGAGATTTTGAAGGCACGTATTGCATTGTCATCATCTTCAGGTAATTAAAACTGTGTGGACAAATATAATCACACTCATCCAGATGCAGACCAATGGGAACTTGTTCAACTTTTCACCACCTGTTGGACCTTTTGTCATATCCTACCAGCTTTGGTATACCGTTGCCTGAAACTTCGTACTCCCCGCCAGGCCTCGCTTGCACAAAAAATGTGGAACACGCCCAACAAATTGACCCCACCATTCACTCATACTCTGGTACACATGGAGTTTTTGTTTCCGGCCCATGAACAGGCATCTAAACCTATCATGGCCGGTATATTGGCACATACCCCATTGGTTAAAACTCTAGTGTTAACCTTCTTATTTACAGTTCGGCATTTCATTGATCCTGTCACAGACTTTGTCGGCTCATACCTCCCTCGTAATGTGGAGATCTTGGTTTTTCGTATGCTGTATGATGGCAAGCCAATGGATCTGTCTCGTCTGGCAGGGCTTCTTGATAATGCCCCATGGCTGGATCCTGGTTGGCCAAAATTCTTTGCACAAATCCCACACATCACTACTTTCACTGTACAAACTGCTCAGTATATGATTTGGCCACCAATCCAAAGACTAGAGTCATCTTTTGTACAGTATTGGCTGTCCAATGCAGGTTCCTCTCTAACTACCGTGGAGTTGACTTATGGAAACCGCAGCTTGGGGCTATTTCTCCAATTGGCACATCGGGTTCTAAGTCCTGGATTTGTTTTAGACCCGGATGATGAGTATCTCCCACCATTTGTTTGGAGCCGTTTCTTACACCATGGTCATGAGTGGTGCAGAGATGTAGGATGTTTGCCCAGTATGGCCTTTGGCTCACCTCATCTTGATACATTCTATGGATTCTTTGACTTAGTGCAATAGAATATCCTTCCTAAGCTCCTTTGGACTTGTAAACTACCTCAGTGACCACAAAAAACTATCCACTTTAAAAATTTACTTCAATTGATATAACTGAGTAAATGGGGATTTTCTTAGGATCACTTGACAGTGATTTTTTCAATGTGTCTCATATCATCACACATGGCATTTAGCCGAAAGCAGTTCAGAGCAGTTCAGAGCACTTCCCAGCAGCGAAAGCACCCAGAGCAGGCTTTGATTTTTGCTAGTTGGGTGCTTTTGTCGCTGGAGAGCACTCTCCAGCCAGTATCCTTGCTCTGGCGAGTAGTATACATGTTTTGCAGATGCATGGCAGGTGGTACCAGGACAAAAAATATGTTCATTGAAGGCATACGAGTCTGGAGGTTTGGGCACGCATGTTGTTCATTGTTTCAACTCACTGAACATGTTCTTCACTCCCTTTAGCTTTAGAGTATGTCAAATCATAGAAGCAGTCCGATATCTGTGAATAGATGCTTGATGAATAAATCATTGGTAGAGTCCATTCCCTATCTGCAAGAACATCCACCAATAAGCTAATGGGTCTGGGTTACCTGAAAAACCCATCTCAAACTCACTGGTAGTGATGTGCCGGCTCCTGCTCCGAGCCCTTGGGCCCTACGAGCCTGACCGGATTGAGCCTGGCCGGGTCGGGGCAGGATTTTCAATATCAGATGAACCGTGAAGGGTTCAATAAGTGCATTCATACATTGCATGTTCCAAGTTGTCAAACTTGTGTAGGATAAATTGCTATGGAGGAGTGTGCTGGGATATTGTTAAGATTGTCTTAGAATGAATTCAAAGTCGATTTCCCGGCAAAGTATACGCTGGACCGGTGCAAAATTCTCAGTCGAAATGGTCAGGTTTGGGGCCATTAGCATTTGCCGTAACCATGCACGGACCTTTGCACGGAACATGTGTGTAACTTGCGCGGAACTTGCACGGATCACTTACCCAGCAAAGTATAACTTCAATAAATACTTTTTGAAGAGTTTACTGATACTGATTCCATTTGAACAAATCATTGAGTCCTAGTCAATATCATAAATTGTATGCAAAACCAACTCTAGAAGCATTGCACTTTTATCTACTTTACTCTTACCATCTTATACTTTTGATGAGCAGGCCATTTTACCTAGTCTCAGCAATGGGAGCACAGTGATTGTTTAGGTATGTTGAATGAATCCTTCCAACCTTTCAATTATCTATAAATGACAACAAATGCTTGATCCTCAGTTATTAGACATAATGGGCAATGACTACAGGCCTTGACAACA